GGACGCAGACCCCAGCCCACCCCAGCCTCTCCCCTGCTCGCGAGGCCCGGAGCACGGTGATGCATGGCTGAGTGACCTGGAAAAGGCAGGCGTGGACTTTGGGAAGACAGCAAAGCTCGCTCTTTAACATTTTTGTTAATTTGAGAGGCAGGGAAGGAGAAAGAAAGAGAGCGCTCCCGTCTGTTGGTTCACTCCCCAAGTGCCTGCAGTGGCCAGGTCTGGGCTGGGGCCAGAGCCAAGAGCTGGGAATGCAATCCAGGTCTCCCACATGGGTGGCAGACACTGAGTCACTCGAACCACCCCCGCTGTCCGCCAGGCTGTGCACAGGCAGGAAGCTGGAGTCCGGAGCTGAGACAGAGAGAGTCATCCACTGGTTCACTCCCCAGATGGCTGCAATGGCTGGAGCTGTACCCGTCTGAAGCCAGGAGCCAGGAGCTTCTTCCGGGTCTCCCACACAGATGCAGGGGCTCAAGGACTTGGGCCACCTTCCACTGCTTTCCCAGGCCACAATAGGGAGCTGGATTGGAAGTGGAGCAGCCGGGACTTGAACCGGCGCCCACATGGGATGCCGGCACTGCAGGTGGCAGCTTTACCCGCTACACCACAGCGCCAGCCCCCAGTAAGAGCGCCTTAACTACTAGGGTAAACGCTCACTCCCTGAGGAGTTCCAGATTTGACCAAAGATGTCTACAGATAGGAGAAGCTGAGTGAGCTCCAGATAAGATTAGCCACAGATGTCCGCGCTGACCGCGCCTCAGTTCTCACGGGAGGAATCAGCCCAGCTTCCCCCCAGCCTCACTCGGGCCCTGCAGGGGAAGCCGTTGGGCAGCTGTGGGGTCTTCCCTCTCCTTGAAGCCACCAAACCTTGGAAGGGGTTCCTGAACCTGGGTAGGCCCTGCCCCCAACACGCCCGGGCCCTGTCTTGGAGCTGCAGTGTGACAGCACCCCCTGCTGGCGGGACCGCAGGGTGGCTGAACCGCTCCCGCCGTGACTTGCCCTGATGCCTGCGCTGGGGCGCTGCCCAGTCCCGTGCACTGACCACAAGTTGCCGACACTGAATGCAGTCACAGGCACTTCCCGGGCGGTGACCCCGTGCTCTACCATGAGCCTCACCCCCCACCCCAGCCTGCATGGCCAGCGATCTGTGAGGGAACGTGGGGGATTCCTGGAAAACACTGCAGATTTCAACTTTGGGGTTTTTGCACCAAAATAAATCTTATCTCTTAATTTCCGCAGACTTTTATGAAACACCCTCATATTAGTCCACCCCGCTCTGCCGTGTGCTGGCCGGGCTGCAGTTCTGCACCCAGCCGGCTGCTGGGACTCGTGTGCACCAGCCCTCCGCACCCATAGTCAGCCTGACAGCCCACCTCAGGGTGCTGCATCCAGTCCCAGATGCCCTACTGCTCACCCAGCTCCCTGCTAATGTGCCTGGGAGGGCAGCATGCGATGGCCCAAGTGCTTGGGCCCCTGCCTCCTGTGTGGGAGGCCCAGATGGAGCTCCTGGCTCCTGGCTTCTGCGTGGTCCAGCACGGCTGTTATGTTCATCTGGGGAGTGCAGCATCCGACGGAGGATCTCTCTCTGCCTCTCCCTGTCACCCTGCCTTCCAAATAAATGAATAGTTCTTGAAAAAAATAACGATGTGGCAATGATAACACAGAAGACTGCAGTATGACAGCATCCATGCTGTGTTGGGTGCCCTAAGTCCCCTGGAGAGAGCGGCAGGACCCCGGAGCGGGTGCGTGGGCCAAGTGAGAACGCTTTGAGACATCAGGAAAAACAGGATCAAAGGATAAGGATTTTGGTGCAAAATAATATTGAAATCCATGCAGATTTTTCTGTAATACATGTTTTTTACAACCATTTTAAAGACCCGTCACGAGCAAATGCCGTGTCATTGTATAGAAGGGACTTGAGTGTCCGTGGATTTTGGCGTCCACGGGGGTCCTGAGACCAGTGTGTGGACCCCGAGGGGGCAGCCTCCCCCAGATGTCCACGGCATCTTGTAAGAATCGTGGAAAAACACGTGTGGGCTGTGTCCCTGCTGCTGGCCTGGGGAGACCGTAAGGGGGTTGGGGACCCCAATCCTAGAGGGTGGCCGCGTCCCACTGTGGGTTTCCGATCTCTGTCCATTTTCCGTTCAACACTTGCAGTGCATTCATCCATCCCCTGCTTGCGGGGCAGGCAGAGGGGGTGAGGCCCGCGGGTCCCCCGGGGAGGGGCTGGAGAGCTGCAGCACACAAGGTCAGGCCAAGGGCATCGTGTGGCTCCCACACGGGACCGTGGGGTGACTTGGCCGGGGGGCTGGTTCACATGCGTGAGGACTAACCCGGAGCTCACCTGCAGGTCCTCACCCCCCAGAGACTGTCCCGAGCTCACCCCCAGGGGATGCAGACGCGGGGCACGAGGCCTTCCTGGGTGGACAGGCGGCGAGCTCGGCCTGCCCCGGGGACCCTGAGGTCCTCTGCTGTCTCTCCGCCCCTCCCCACTCTGTAGATCCGAGGCCTTGGGGAAGGTGACCGCAGGTTCCTTTTCTCTGCTGATGACCCTGCGGGAAGCTTGGGGTCACAGCTGCGGGGAACGTCCCCTGTCCTGAGCCCCGCGTGGGTGCTGGCTGGGGGCCTCAGGGCCAGGTCCCACTTCTGGGCGCAGCCAGGGTCTCGCGTGTTCACTGGCGGTGGGCAGGGCCTGTCCGCGTCCTCTGAGTCCCCCTAACGGTGAGTCTGTGACCCTGGTGAGTCTGTGACCCTGGCCCTTGAGGGAGGGCAGGTGCTAGAAGGGTGGCCGTGTCGTGCTGATGGGGCTGGAGATAAAAACTGTCGCAGAGCCCAGGTGCCACGGCGCCAGGGGCCTCCCGCCTGGGATCTTGGCGCTGGTATAGTCAGCCAGTTCACAGCAGGTGCCCCAATGCACCAGAGTCGCCGGGCCTGCGGGCCTGACCCTCCTGTCCAGGAGCCAGGTGGGGGGCAGTGTGCCGTGTGGTGCCATGTGGTGCGTAGCCGCTGCTGGCAGGGCCAGGAAACTGCTCTCCGCACTGGTGACGTCTGCGCAGAATGGAGGGAGGAAGCCAACCCCGCCGACGGCTGCAGGAAGAGGAGCCGGGCACTCAGCAGCTCTTGTGCAAGGGCCCTGGGGCGGCAGCGGTCAGTGGAGCCCGCGCTGGGGGGAGGGAGAGAATCAGAGGGGTGTGGGCAGGGGGGTGGGGCCCGGGCAGCTGTAATGCACTGTATGGTGGGGGAAGGACTTCCGGTTCTGCGGTGAGCGTGACGTGAGGATTTCTGTCAGGGAGGTGGCACGCTCGGAGTTTTCTAAACGTCCCCTGACTGTGTTGCCACGGCCTGTCCTGGAACCCTGCAGTGGAACAAGGCTGTGGGGGTGCAGATGTCCCCGGCGTCCCAGGTCGAAGGCCCCCGTGAGCATCTTCCAAGGGGACTGGGATGGTGACCCAGGGTCCCCAAGACCGCCCCAGGGCTCGCAGAGCTCAGAAAACATACGGCTCCTGCCAGCAAAAGGCGGCAGACTGACGCCGGCCGAGAGACGGGGCGCACGCGGCAGGGTCGGTAGAGCCGGGGGCAGGGTGAGAGTCGCACCCAGCACCCGAGGGACACCCCCTGTGGAGAACAGGCCGTCCCCACGTCCTCACCAATGCTGGCTCATTGGAGGGGTTTTAGACTTTACGATGGCGCAAAAGCAATACCCACACAAGCATTCCGTTCCTCACTTCGGGCGCGCTGGTCAGTGAATTGCAGGAGCCGGCCAGCACGTGGGAATACAGCAGGTGTGGGGGGACGCTGTGCTCGGCTGTAGGCTCCCGGGAGCGTCCTGAGCACGTGTAAGCTTGTCTCGCTGAGCTGGGATGTGGGGGTAGCTTATAGAGGTTTAAATTGACATTTTCAAAAAAACTTTTCAAATTGTATTTGAAAGGCACAGAGACAGATCTTCCACCTGCTGGTTCACTGCCCAAGTGCCTGCAACAGCCGGGGCTGCCCCAGGCCGCAGCCAGGAGCCTGGAGCTCTGACCCGTCTCTCACGTGCTCAGCCACAGGCACTGCCTCCCCGCGTGTGGGTCAGCAGGAAGCTAGAATGGGGCGTGGGGCCAGGACGCAAGCTGAGCCGGTCTGGTGGGGCAGGCAGGCGTCCCGGGTCGTGTCTTTCACAATGTGTAAGACCACGTGCTCACCCCTGAAGACAGATCTGACTTACAATGGTGTCGACTTTTTTTTTTCTTAAGATTTATTCATTTATTTGAAAGAGTTACAGGAAAGACAGATTTTTCCATCTGCTGTTTCATTCCTTGGATGGCCACATCAGCTGGGGCTGAGCCAGGTCAAAGCCAGGAGCTCCATCCGGGTCTCCCACGTGGGTGCAGGGGCCCAAGCACTTGGGCCATCTTCTGCTGCTTTCCCAGGCCATTAGCAGGGAGCTGGATCGGAAATGGAGCAGCCGGGATTTGAACCGGCGCCCATATGGGATGCTGGCACTGCAGGCGCCGGCTTTACCTGCTACACCACAGCACCGACCCCAACAGTGTCAACTTGAACGATGAGGTTATGGGGCCCTGAGCCCTCTCTCAGCCAGGGATTGCCAAGCAGGGAAGCGGCCTGGGCCCTGGCGTCCAGCGTGTTTGTTGAGGGTCAGTCACGCGGGCCTGGGCACCCAAGGCACCCAGGCCTCTGATCTGAGGTCACCTCCTGGGTCTCCTGCCCTGTGACATCATGGAGCCGGGCGCTGACACTGACTGCGAGACCCGGGGTCTGGGGCACACAGACCCCACCCTCGCTGCGCAGGGCGCCCCACACACTGGCCCTGGTGACCTGTGGACCTTTGCCATGTGTGGAGGCAGCACCTGTGCCCTGCACCTGTGTGCTCGGCAGAGCCTGTGGCTTCTCGCAGCGCTGGCCATGCTTCCTGGGCTGCTGCTGGTTCCTTGGGGGCCGTGAGCGAGCACCTCCTGTCCAGGGCCCTGCCCACTGACGCCCACCTCCCTTTCTCCCGACAGCTTCCTGATCAACATGGCGGACTCCCACGGGGACACCGGCACCACCATGCCTGAAGCGGCGGCCCAGGAGGCGTCGGTCTTCAGCATGACGGACGTGGTTCTGTTCTCGCTCATCGTGGGGCTGATCACCTACTGGTTCCTCTTCAGAAAGAAAAAGGAGGAAGTGCCCGAGTTCACCAAGATCCAGGCCCCGTAAGTGGCACCGCGGCGGGCACGTCCCCTGAGGCAGGACGGGCGCGCCCCAGGCCAGCAGCGGGGCGGGGGTTCTGCGAGTGCCTCTGCACAGGGGCGCAGGCACGCCACGTCCCCTTCCTGGAGGTGCTTTAGAGAGGGGAGGGTCCCGGTGTGTGGCCGCCTGCAGCCCTGGGGAGTGGTGGTGTCAGGCTCCGCTTCGTGTTGTTTGAAAGGCGGGAGTTAGCGAGAGCTCTCGTGTGCGGGGTCATGCCCGAGACGCCCACAACGGCCAGGGCTCCATCCAGGTCTCCCACGTGGGCGGCAGGGCCCCCGCACTCGAGCCGTCACCTGCTGCCCCCACCCCCCAGAGTGTGAATTAGCAGGGAGCTGGCCGGGAAGTGGGCCTGAACCTGAACCAGGACTCAGGGCCATGCGGCCGCCCCGAGCCCTGGCCCAGCCCCGGTGCCAAGCTCCTGCCTCTGTCACTGGGTTTTGTTGTTGACCCTTCCATAGGGCCTCCTTGAGGAATAAGTGAAGAGGTGAATTGATCTAAAGGCGCACGTCCAGGATGCTAGATGGACACGGACAAATGCTGTGGGGACTTGGCCCTGTGACTGCATCGCTGTCCCCAGCGTGGACCCCAGGAGCCCCACTCGGGGGCCTGCGGTCACTGCTGGCCGGGTTTTAGCCCCGGCTCGGACTCAGGGGCGGGGAGGGTGGGGTGTCTGCCGGCCTGACCTGTGCTGAGCCAGGCCTGCCCGTGGGCTCCCAGCCTCAGCCAGGGTCAGTGTCAGGTGCGGCAGACGGGACGGGGTTCTCAGGCAGGAGCCCCTGGCCGGGCAGGTGCAGTCCCAGTCCAGCTCGCTGTCCTCACACGCTGAAGCAGACCCTCAGCCTGGCCCCAGGAGGCCCCCGCGGCGCTGCGTGCCCGGACCGTGCACCTGCCAGGAGACTTTGCCCTGCACTCCTGGACGAATTCCAGCTGCGGAGCCCCCGCTCCCCGTGCAGCTGGGACTTGGACACAGGGAGCGCGTGCAGGCTCTCCCCAGCCTCTGGTCAGAAGCGGCGTTGCCGGGGGAGATGAGTGAAAGTCCAGGTTCCACCAGGTCCATGCTGATGTCCCTGTGACAGGAACCGGTCCCTTCCGCGCAGTCTCACGGCAGGCGGCTGAGGGAGGGAACCGTCTGGGGGTGCTGGGCTGGGCTTCAGCTGTGTGCAAAGAGTCGGGGAGACCCAGCAGGCACTGCTGGATTCTGACCGGGGCTGGGCCAGGCTGGCGCAAGGGAGGGGCAGGTGGTGGGGCGAGGGGGATTTGTGCAGGTGCAGTCAGGCCGGGCCTGGCTGGGATTAAGGTGGGGGGGTGGGCAGCAGGCATGGCTGAGCTGAGTGTCCCAGCAGGGAGCTGGAGGACCCCCCTGGGGTGTCGGGGCAGGAGCAGCCACACTGGGCAAGGCAGTTGAGCCAAAGCTGAATTTCAGAGATTCTTACTCCTGTGAAATCAGAGGGGCGGAGAGCAGACAGTGAGGCTGGGGGAGGGGACGCGGAACGCAGCGGGAGACCTCCGTGGCCGTTGTTGAAGACTGGAGCATGGCCGGTGGCCTGCTGGGGGAGGCTGCTTTACCCTGCTCTGTTCCCCGGGCCGGGCTGCCCTGGGAGATGAGGGAGCCAGGGACCAGGGAAGGAGCTGAGAGCCGGGTGAGGCCCCAGAAGGCTCCGCAGTGTGCATGGCGCACAAAACCCACCAGCGCAAGCTGTGTAACAGCACCCAGGTCTGCACACGGCCCCTTCCCACACCCCGGGAGCCCCCACGGCCACAGTGCCCGCCCCTCCCCCCCAGTCCGGCTCTCACAGCCAAGCCCCCTTGGCCATGGTGCCTGCTCCCCCACACACACTGGCTCTCAAAGTTGTGCCCCCGCGGCCATGGTGCCCTCCCCCCCCCCCGACGCTGGCTCTCACAGCCGAGCCCCTGCGGCCACGGTGCCCCCCCCCACTCCGGCTCTCACAGCCAAGCCCCGTCTGGGTCATGGAACAGGTCTTCCTTGGCCTCGTGCTCCATGCTGTCAGGAGACGGATCCGTGTGTGTCTGTCGTCCACTGCCCACATGGCTGCGATGGCCAGGGCTGGCCCAGCTGAAGCCGGGAACCCAGGGTCTCCCATGATCTCCCACGTGGGTAGCAGGGGCCCAGGCACTTGGGCCAGCGTCCACTACCTTCTCAGCCACATTAGCAGGAAGCGGACCAGCAGCCAGGACTGGAACCAGCACCGTGGTATGGGACGGCTGAACCCACTGCACCATGTGCAGGCCCCACCTTAGCTTCTCACGTGGCCACGCGGCCCTGCCAGAGCTGGCCTTGGCAGATGGGGTGAAGGGGTTCCCAACGTCACTCCCCGTAGACGTCCACTTGCCCCACTGCCGGTTGGTGTCACCGTTGACCCCCAGTGGGCCCTGTCAGGCGATTTGTAGGCTGCTTAGTCCCATTGATCCCTTTCCTTTCCTTAGCTTTTTTTTTTTATTATTATTATTTTTTAAGGTTTCATTTATGTATTTGAAAGGTGCAGTTACAGAGAGGGACAGAGCTTACATCCGCTGGTTCACTCCCCAAATGGCCGCAATGGCCGGAGCTGGGCCAGGTCAGAGCCAGGAGCCAGGAGCTTCTTCTGGGTCTCCCACATGGATGCAGGGGCCCAAACACTTGGGCCATCTTCTTCTGCTTTCTCAGGCGCATTAGCAGGCAGCTGGTTTGGAAATGGAGCAGCCAGGACTCGAACCAGCGCCTGTATGGGATGCCAGCACTGCAGGCCGTGGCTTAACCTGCTGCACCCAGCGCCGGCCCTGTCTGTGACAGGTGGTGCTTGGAGTCCTCCAACGCGGCCCTTTAACATTCCCCGTGTAAACTTCAGAAGCAGCTTGTCCGTGTCTGTTCAGCGTGGATTGGACAGAATTTGTAAATGAATTTGGGAAGCGTGAACACAGTCCACAGACAGCCTTGCTCAGCTCCTGCCCGGCTCTGCGGCCCTGGGGCCAGGCTCCCACCCCTGGGCGGCCTTCCCCGTGTAGAGGGAGCGCCCCCCTCCTGTCCGACCCCCTGACTTAGCTCAGGACCACCTGTTGGGGGTGGGGGGAGCCCAGACCTGCTGTGGGATCCCTAAATGCCAGGCCAGACTGTGGCCGCTGGCTGCGTTTGGCCAGCCCAGTTTTTTTGTTTTGTTTGTTTTTTAGGGGACTTTAATTAGAAGGTTAAAAAGTCTGGCATTTAAGCATAAGAACCTACTACCGCAGGATCTGACCTGGCCCGTCGCGAGGGGTGCTGAGGCCCGCTCTCCGTGGCGGGGGAGCCAGCTTAGGCTGCTGCGCCCCTGTCCTCAGTCCCCACCCGCAGCGGGGTAGGCAGGGTGTGGACACGACACAAACACTGCAGCAGAGCGGCCTCTGGGGGTCAGGTGCAGTGAGGGCCGGGCACAGGTCGCCCCTGTCTGGAGTGACAGATGCACGCGGTCTCCTCGCGGAACATTCCACGGCCCTGAAAAGCCCCCAGGGCCCCTTTGCCCGTCAGCCTCTGCCTCTGGCCGCTCCTGGTCTTACCTGTCCCCCACCCCACCCCACCCCGTCCCAGTAGCCACAGCCCCCGTGCCCAGGGCCGCTCCTCCTGCACCTGCGTGAAGACCTCCTGACCACTGTCATCCCGACCCTGGCTCCTCCAGGGGCGGCCCCCGGAGCCCCAGGTGCCCGGCACTAGGGCGGCTCTGCACACAAAGCTCAGGCATGCAGGCTGCCGGCCTCGCTCGCGTCTGTTCCCACCGGCTGAGCCCGGCGGGCGGCACGTAAGCGGCAGGGTCCCTCCTGACAGAGTTCTACGAAGAGAGAGGCCCCGCCGAGGCCGTGGGGAGGGGGCAGGGCTCGGAGGGAGTGGCTGGAAGGCCGGCCTGGGGTGTCTGGCCGCTGAGGGGCCTCTGCTTGCCTTGCCCGGTCCTTGGTGAGAGCCGTTCTGCCCATGTGGGAGCAGCCGCCCTTGGACCTCACCGGGCACGGTCAGGGCGCAGGTGCGCTGGTCACTGCCGCTGTGAGCCGGCTGTGAGGATGCAGAGGACGAAGCAAGGATCCCGGGGGCTCACGGGCAGGCGGGAGGCGCCCCCTGGGTGGACTGAGGGGCTGAGGGTAGCTGGGGAAGGGGGTGAGGGGCCTGAGCTCAGGCGAGGGGAGACAGGGCTGCCTTTGGCAAACGCGCGCCCTGGCCGAGGTCACCAGAGCAGATGGGGGTCGTGGAGGGAGGTGAGGGGTCATCCAGGGAGTCGGGGTCACAGAGGGAGCGGAGGAGGGGCGGGGCCTAGAGGGAGGCTGCTGCAGCCTTCCTGAGGTCGGATGGGCAAAGACTGTGTCCACCAGAAGTGTTTACCGTGGTGTTTGCACACCCCTGACGCTGTCGGGGAGCCCGCTGGGACCTGAGCAGGGCAGGGTCTTGGGGCCACCTCGCGGCCCAGGGATCGGCGGTTGGGGTTCAGTTGGAGGGAGCTGGTCCACGAGTTGGAGGCTGTAGGGCTGGACGTGGTGGGCACTGGCCCCACTGTGTGCTGTGGTCAGAGACAGGACCAGGGCCATCTGGCAGCGAGAGAGGAACTGGCCCGAGGTCCGTCTGCTGGTTCACTCCCCTAGATGGCCACGACGGCCAGGGCTGGGCCAGGCCAAAGCCAGGAGCCAGGAGCTCCATCTGGGTCTCCCACGTGGGTGCAGGGGCCCAGGCACTTGGACCGTCCGTCTTCTGCTGCTTTCCCAGGTGGGTTGGCAGGGAGCTGGATTGGACGTGGGCAGCTGGGACTTGAACCCGAGGACACACGAGATGCCGGCACTGGGGGTGGGGGGTGGGGTGTAGGCCAGGTGCTTTCCTGGGCAGCCCAGAGCCACCGCCTTCCTGCACGAGGGCCTGGAAGCTGCACTCCGCCTGTCCCTGCTCTAGCACCCTGGGGAGCTTGGGCGCCAGACACTGGAGGAGGAGTCGGTTCTGCTGGGCAGATGACGAGGTTTGGGTTGGTTTTCAGAACGGCTTCGCGCATTGCCTGGGACGGGAACCGAATGAATCAGGCGGGGGCACGTGGGTCCATCCAAGTGACTCAGTCCCGTCCCCACCACCCCGCACTGCCGTTGGCTCCCGAGGCCCGGCGGGGGGAGAGGGGCCTGGCGTTTGCCCCATGCGAGGCCGGAGGGGCAGGGCCGTCTGTCCCACGGCCCCCAGGACACCCTCCCCTCCTCCCCCGCTATCTCGGGCCCCACGGGAGCCGGGTCGAGTTGAATAGGCTCCCAGGCCGGGCAGTAGCCGCCCTGCACGGCTGAGCTTGGCCCCCAGCACTTCCTTCCTTCTTTTTTTAAATGGCGGGGGGGAGGTGTGGGGAGAAGGGCTCTGATGCACAGTTTCCAAGGAGACCGAGTGGGGTTGCAGAGGTCCCCTCCTTCCCTGGGTCCACACTGAGGAGGGGGAGGGGTGTGCCCCACCGCAGGGGATCATGGGAGGCTCAGTCTCCCTTCCCAGTCGCTCCCGGCTGGAACTGCCAGATGTTGCCGAGTTCTCCGGCTTCCGGGGCCGGAGACAGGCAGGGGCGCGGGGAGATTCGGAGAGCCGTCCATGGGCCCGGGCGGACAGAGGCGGCTTCCTGCCTGGGGGACCGTCCCTCGTCCTGCAGCCCTGAGCTCCCAGGGAGCGGGAAGCCATGGGGTGCACGTACTCATCTCGGCAGGACGAGCCAGCCCGGAGGTCAGTCCAGATGGCGTTGCGGGCGGCAGGGGGCGTGGCTACCCTGGGGGCGGGGCCTGGAGGCCCTGGCCCCTGCATGCAGGAGCTGCTTCCCGGGCAGAGCCTGCAGAGTTGGCCAACAGAGGCAGCGAGCAGTCCCGGGGGCTGTCCCCCCAGGGTCTGGTGGGGGTGGGGGTGCTCAGTTGGGCCCTTGGGCGCTGGACTTGCAGGTCCTGGCTCCCAAAGAAAGGGTTTGGGCCTCCCAGAAGGACCGGGTTCCAGGGCAGACCCAGGCATGAAGCTGTCGGGTAGGACAGAGCCAGTTCACGGCAGCCGGAGGCATGGACCCCGCGGCTAAGCCCGGGGCCTCTGCCGCCTTGAGCCCTGCCCATGGTTTGGGATGGGGAGGGCTCAGCCAGCAGGTGGCTCAGGGGCTCAGGGCCTTCCAGCCTCCTGGGTTGCCCGCCTTCCCCCTTGCAGGTGGGCCCTGGAGCTGGTGGGGGTGGGGTTCCTCCTGTCCCCCCAGGACTGAAGCCAAAGCATTAGAAGAGCCCAGCTCTGGGGCAGGTGGCGGGAGCCTGTCAGCAGCCAGTCCTGCCTGAGGGCTTCCCCTGTGTCCTGTGTTCCCCCCCCCCCAGGGGGCACCTGGCAGCCTGGCCCTGCCTGGGAGCCATTGTCTCCTCCGAGAACAGAGCCCCGTATTCTGGGAGGCCGGGGGCCCAGAGCACCTGCTCCTCTTAGTGTTCATGGTGTGTGCCGTCTGTTCCACCCCCGGGGTCCTGCTGTGTGCCGCCGTGGGCCACTGAGTGTCTGTGACAGACCCAGCAGGTGCAGGGCCAGGGGAGGCCATGGCCCTGGGAGGGGCAGGACTGGGACCTGCGGCCACGCCTGCTGCTGAGCCGGGGCTCCTCACTCTGCTGCGACCGTCCCCAGAGCCAGGATTGGCCCTCTGCAGGCTGCTCCCATGGCCACAGCCACAGCACCAGGCACGGCCGTTCCGCGTCCCTGTGCCCCGAGCGGAAACGGAGTGGTTCTTCAGGGGACGGCAGACCCTCTCGGGGGAGGGCACGGGGAGTGGGCTGTGCCCCCGGCACCATCTCAATCCCCCGGGCGGCTGCCCACAGCTTCCTCACTGCCCCATTCCAGGGGTGGGCACAGCTGGCTCAGAGGTGCAGAAGGGAGAGGCCAGGAGGCCCGCCAGGTGCAGGGAGGGGGCAGCCCACGCAGGCAGTGCCGCGGACCCCAGCCCGCTTCCTGAAACAGAAACCCTCTCTCATTCCCCCACAGAGCCACTAGTGTTTATTGTAAGGGAAAAAGGGCCGAGAGATCGGACACAAAAATTGGCCCCCAGAATCCAAAAAGGCTCCCAGGGACAGGTGTTTGGTCCAGCGGCTGGTCCCGGCTCCAGCTTCCTGCTCTGCGCACCCGGGAGTCTCCTGCCGCTCCTGCGGGAGCCCTGGGTCGAGTTCCTGGCTCCCGGCCCGGCGCAGCCCTGGCCGTGCCAGGTGTTTGGGCAGTGAACCTGCGCATGGGAGGCGTCCCTCTTAAAGAAACAAAGTTTCACAGCCGCTTCTCGTGTGGACCCCCGAGACGTAGCGGATGGGATCTGGAGCGGCAGTCGCATCTCCAACACTCCCTGACAGGAGCGCCAGGCCGGGCAGGCCCTGGGGTCTGGGGGAGCCCTTTCCCACCTCCAGACAGCCGCAGTGGGTGCCCACTCCGATGCCATCCATGGCCTGTCCGGGTGTCCTGGAACTTGGCTGGAACATCGTCTTGGCCACTGTCCGGGGAGCTCAGGAACCCTCGCCAGGGGCTCACAGGACACGCAGCGCCCACACGCGGGCACCCGCCATCTCTCCCCTGCACCGCGGGGACCCCGGCCTCCTTGCGGCCGCCCAGGAACCCTCAGAACCGTCTCGTGGCTGTGGCCTGGCTGCCGGGTCAGCTCCTTTCCTGTGTGACCATGACGGCCAACGGCCAGGCGGAGCCTGCCATGTGCCACGCACCCTTTATCTGATCCCTGCCGGCCCTTGGACGTAGTTTGCTGGCTGAGAAGCAGGAATCCTGGTTCTGGCTCGCTCAGCTGGGTGTCAGCAGGCAGGCAGGTGGGGAGCCTGACCTCAAGCCGCTCTCTGGCTCCGCCTCCTCTTCCAGAGCCCGGGAGGGGGGAGGAGGGTTTTTTTTTTTTTAAATTTATTTTAAAAGTCAGAATTACACAGAGAAGGAGAGGTGGGGGGGGGGCCTTCCATCTGCTGGTTCGCTCCCCAATTGGCCGTGATGGCTGGAGCTGTGCTGATCTGGAGCCAGGAGCTTCTTCCAGGTCTCCCACACGAGTGCAGGGACCCAAGGACTTGGGCCATCTTCTACTGCCTTCCCAGGCCACAGCAGAGAGCAGGATTGGAAGTGAAGCATCCGGGACTCGAACCAGTGCCCATATGGGATGCCAGCACTGCAGGCGGCAGCTTTACCTGCTATGCCACAGTGCCAGCCCCAAGAGAGGAGGTTTTTGAAGCCAGCCTACAGGCCCGCCCCTGCAGCCTGGCATGGGGTGGCTCTGGCCCTGTGACCACCCGGGAGCCCCCTCCTGTGTACCAAGGAGACAGTCGCTGGGCCTCACAGTGTCCCACACAGTGGTACAGGGAACAGGAACCCCAGGGGAGCTGTGGTGGAGGGGTGGGTTCCCAGGGGCCGTGAGCCCGCTGTGGGTCACGAAGGCGGTGCAGGTGGTGACGGAGGAGGAGGAGGGACCCCGGGGGCCTTGGGCTGAGGTGGGGGAGGGGAGCGGGAACGGTTCCGGTCTGTGAGGGTGGGGGCCCGACTCTGCAGGACGCTGGCGTCACAGTGCCTCTGCATTTACCGTAGGGATGGGGGGGGCCCTGGGCCTGCCTGTTGCAGCCCCAGGACGGAGCCCAGGGCACAGCCGTAGGCCTCCCGGGACTCACTGGGCCTTCTGTTTCAGGACGTCGTCGTCAGTGAAGGAGAGCAGCTTCGTGGAGAAGATGAAGAAGACGGTGAGTCCCGGGCCGCCCCTCGGCCAGCCTCGGCCGCCCCCTCGGCACCGCAGGCACCGGCCGCCCCCGCCACGCTCGGCTTCCAGGTCTGCTGGCTTTTACTGGATGTGCATTTAGTTTTGGGGGCAGCTTTGTTGAGAGAGAATTTATCTACCGTACAGTATGCCCATTTTTTTAAAAAGATTTATTTGAAAGTCAGAGTTACACTGAAGAGAGAGAGAGAGAGGTCTTCCGTCTGCTGGTTCTCTCCCCAATTGGCCGCAATGGCCGGAGCTGCACCGATCCGGAGCCAGGAGCCTCCCCCGGGTCTCCTACACGGGTGCAGGGGCCCAAGGACTTGGGCCATCTTCTACTGCTTTCCCAGGCCACAGCAGAGAGCTGGATGGGAAGTGGAGCAGCCGGGTTCTCGAACTGGCGCCCACATGGGATGCCGGTGCTGCAGGCCAGGGTGTTAACCCCGCTGCACCACAGCACCAGCCCCATACAATTTGCCCATTTCTAAGCGTTTTAAAAGATTTATTTGAAAGGCAGAGTTATGGGGGGAGGGAAAGAAAAAAGGCGAGGGGGAAAGAGAGAGGTCTTCCATCTGCTGGTTCATCCCCAAATGCCGCCAACGGCTGGAGCTGGGCAGACCAGGAGCCAGGAGCCTCTTCCAGTCTCCCACGCGGTGCAGGGCCCAAGCACTGGGGCCGCCTTTGCTGTTGTCCCAGGCCACAGCAGGGAGCTGGAGCGGAAGTGGGGCAGCCGGGACCCAAACAGCACCCATGTGGGATGCCGGCACCAGAGGTGGCAGCTGCACCTGCTGCGCCACTGAAACACTGTTCTCCCAGAACAGAAACCCCGCCCGTTCCCAGCCCATGCAGCCCGTCACCCCTGGTGGCAGATTGCCCGTTCTGGCCACGTGCTGCACGTGGGCCACGTGGCCTGTGGCCTCTGGGTCTGGCCCCCATGCTGGGCACTCCGTCCTGCTCATCACCAGACCCTATTTCAGGGGCTGAGGTGTGTGATCTTCCACCCGAGCTCAGGCTCCGCCCCGTGTCGCCCTGGGGAGCGCCACCCAGTGGTGTCTCGCGGGCTTGCTCTTCTCTGCCGCTGCTGCCACGTGCAGCTGGAGTCGCACGTCCCTTCTGGCTCTGAGCCTGCGCTGGCGACGGCTGCACCCCCGATCCAGCCTGGAGCTGGCAGATTCGGGCTGCACCGCGGGCGGCTGTGGCCCAGGCACAAGGAAACCAGGCCCTGGAGCTCAGAGCCCAGCTGCCAAAGCCACGCTGACGCCGTGTGCCCTGCCTCCCCCAGGGCCGGAACATCGTGGTCTTCTACGGCTCCCAGACGGGCACCGCCGAGGAGTTTGCCAACCGCCTGTCCAAGGACGCCCACCGCTACGGGATGCGGGGCATGGCCGCCGACCCCGAGGAGTACGACCTGGTGAGCACCCGCCACACGCGGCCCTCCCTCCGTCCCCTCCTGCAGGGCCTGACGCATGGGCCCCCGCCCCGCCCCGCAGGCCGACCTGAGCAGCCTGCCCGAGATCAACAACGCCCTGGCCGTCTTCTGCATGGCCACCTACGGTGAGGGGGACCCCACCGACAACGCCCAGGACTTCTACGACTGGCTGCAGGAGACCGACGTGGACCTCTCGGGGGTCAAGTACGCGGTGAGTCACGCGGGGGCCGCCGGGCTCTGAGGCAGAGCCGGTGCGGGGCCGGAGGCCAGGCCTCAGAGCCGCCCAATGTCCACGCAGGTGTTTGGCCTCGGGAACAAGACCTACGAGCACTTCAACGCCATGGGCAAGTACGTGGACCAGCGGCTGGAGCAGCTCGGCGCCCAGCGCATCTTCGAGCTGGGCATGGGCGACGATGATGCAAAGTGAGTGCCGCCCCGGCCCGCCCTCCGCCGGCCACGGGGGGCTGGACCCTGGGGCTGTGGGGCTGGCCGTGCCTTCCTGTACGTGCCCACCCCAGCGGGGAGGGGACTGCTGCAGCCTTGGGCTGCTGCGTGGAGGTGAGGGGGGCAGAGAACTGGGCGGGGCGGGGTGGGGCGGGGCCGGCCCTTCCGCTCACCAGCCCTTCCTGCAGCCTGGAGGAGGACTTCATCACGTGGCGGGAGCAGTTCTGGCCGGCGGTGTGCGAGCACTTCGGTGTGGAGGCCACAGGAGAGGAGTCCAGGTGAGCGCGGGGGGCGGTGGTGGGGACGCCGTGGGGAGGTGGCCCAAGCCCCCCGCGGGTCCCAGGGGGCTGCAGTGGCCCCTGCAGCTCTGACCCCGGTCTCCCCTGGCCAGCATTCGGCAGTACGAGCTCGTGCTGCACACAGACATCGACGTGGCCAAGGTGTACCAGGGCGAGATGGGCCGCCTCAAGAGCTACGAGAACCAGAAACCGTGAGTGCGGCCGTGACCCTCGGTGGGCGCGGGGGAGGCGCGGCCGTCGGCGGTGCCCGCTGGTCCTCCTCAGAGCCATCGGCCAGGCCCATCCCCTGAGCGGGTACCGAGACGGGGGGTGGCCGCGTCTTCCTGGCCAGCGCACAGGAGGGCGTGAGGCCCGGAGCAGAGAGAAGGGGCCCGGAGGCAGCGGCTGCTCCCACCCTGCACAGGACCCGGGGTCAGCGCTGAGCTCGAGCCCCGGCCCTAGAACCCCTCTGCTTCCAGTCCTCCTAACACAGCGGCCTCTTGTCCAGAAGCTGACCTGCTCTGGGTGCCGCCCCAGAGGCCCTGGTCCCGGTCCCGCTGGGCTGGGAAGCCCCAGAGCCCTGTGCACGTCGTGGCCCTGCCCACACGGCCTGCCACGGGCACGTGGGAGCGTGGAGAGCCCCGCGTGTTTAGGGCTCAGCCTCAGTTTCCAGATTTGAACGGGGACGCCCTCGCGGAGCGGGCTGGGAGCCTCACAGGAGCGGTGTCTCTCACGCCCCACCCCCATGGGGCTGCAGATCAAATCCCACCAATCACCCAGCTTCTCTTCTCCCCCCAGCCCCTTCGATGCCAAGAATCCCTTCCTGGCCACGGTCACCACCAACCGGAAGCTGAACCAGGGCACCGAGCGCCACCTCATGCACCTGGAGCTGGACATCTCGGACTCCAAGATCAGGTACCACCCCCCCCCAGCCGGCCCGGATGCCGCCCCGGCTGGCCCTGCGCCCCAGGCTGAGCCTCCGTTTCCCTCTCCCCAGGTATGAGTCTGGGGACCACGTGGCTGTGTATCCGGCCAACGACTCTGCCCTCGTCAACCAGCTGGGGGAGATCCTGGGTGCCGACCTGGACGTCGTCATGTCCCTGAACAACCTCGATGGTGAGGCCTGGCTGCTGGCGTGGGCCCCCGGGGGGCAGAGCCCAGCTTCCCAAGGGAGCAGGTGCCCACCCAGCAGCCCCTGAGTGTTGCTGGGGTCGAGGCAGGGGTCCCGGCCCATGCTGGCGGAACACTGGGTTGAGCCAGCAACCTGAGGGCTCCACAGGGGCCTGGTGGGGCTGACCAGAGGCCTTTCCCTGCCCATGCGTGTCCTCCGTGACCCCGCCCAGGATGTCCCTTCGGCAGGGCAGCGCACAAAGGGCCAGTTTCTGCCAAACCCTGTCAGTCCCCAGGGGCGGCACAGGGGCCGGGCTGGCTAGATCCCTCCTCTTGGCTTCCTGTCCGGGGCCAGGGAGGCAGCCGGCAGGCCAGGTGCCCGCTTCCCGCAGGGCAGGCCCGAGGCGCCCCGGCCGGGCCCACGCACCTGCCTCACTGTCCCCACAGAGGAGTCCAACAAGAAGCACCCATTCCCCTGCCCCACTTCCTACCGCACGGCCCTCACCTACTACCTGGACATCACCAACCCGCCGCGCACCAACGTGCTCTACGAGCTGGCCCAGTACGCCGCCGACCCCGCTGAGCAGGAGCAGCTGCGCAAGATGGCCTCATCCTCGGGCGAGGGCAAGGTGCGCCCCCGGCCCCCTGCCTCACGCCCCCAGCCCCCGCCACGCCCCGGCGTGCGCACCGCCGCCTCACGCCCGCGCCGCCTGCCCCCCGCAGGAGCTGTACCTGAGCTGGGTGGTGGAGGCGCGGAGGCACATCCTGGCCATCCTCCAAGACTACCCGTCCCTGCGGCCGCCCATCGACCACCTGTGTGAGCTGCTGCCCCGGCTGCAGGCGCGCTACTACTCCATCGCCTCCTCCTCCAAGGTGAGGCCCCGCCCCCGTCCCGCCCCGCCCGGCCCTGGGCCCGCGGGAGCCACCGGCCTCACCCCACCCGCCTGCCTGCAGGTCCACCCCAACTCCGTGCACATCTGCGCCGTGGCCGTGGAGTACGAGACCAAGGCCGGCCGCCTCAACAAAGGCGTGGCCACCAGCTGGCTGCGGGCCAAGGAGCCGGCCGGGGAGAATGGCGGCCGCTGCCCTGGTGCCCATGTTCGTGCGCAAGTCCCAGTTCCGCCTGCCCTTCAAGGCCACCACGCCGGTCATCATGGTGGGCCCCGGCACCGGCGTGGCCCCCTTCATCGGCTTTATCCAGGAGCGGGCCTGGCTGCGGCAGCAGGGTGAGCGCGCGCCGGCTGGGTGGGCGGGCGGGCACGGGTGGGTGAGCACGCTCCCGGCTGGGTGGGAGCCCCCGCTCGCTCACCCCCGCCCCGCACCACCCCCGCAGGCAAGGAAGTGGGCGAGACGCTGCTGTACTACGGCTGCCGGCGCGCGGCCGAGGACTACCTGTACCGCGAGGAGCTCGCCGGCTTCCAAAAGGACGGCACGCTCAGCCAGCTCAACGTGGCCTTCTCCCGCGAGCAGGCCCAGAAGGTGGGCGGGGCGGGACAGGTGGGCGGGGCCTGGCGGGGCGGGGCCAGGTCCGTGCCCTGCCCAACCTCACGGCCCCGCCCCACCCCACCCCCGTGCGCCCCCAGGTCTACGTGCAGCACTTGCTGAGGAGGGACAAGGAGCACCTGTGGCGGCTCATCCACGAGGGGGGCGCCCACATCTACGTGTGCGGGTGAGGGGGCCGTCCTGCGGGGGCGGGGGGAGGAACCCTGCCCCAGCCCCGCCCTCACCCCGCCCCCATTCCCTCCCTCCGCCCCCAGGGACGCTCGGAACATGGCCAGGGACGTGCAGAACACCTTCTACGACATCGTGGCCGAGCTGGGGGCCATGGAGCACGCGCAGGCCGTGGACTACGTGAAGAAGCTCATGACCAAGGGCCGCTACTCCCTGGACGTGTGGAGCTAGGGCCCCGGGGCGGCCGCGGACGGACTCCTGCGGGCCGGGCTGGGGCCTGGCCCCGCCAGTGATTGCCGGTGAATGTAAATAATTTTAAATACCCTGTGCCCTTGGAATAAAGTCCTGTTTTCTGTAGTGGCCTGGCGTGGCCTGGGCGGCACGGGGCCCCGGGGACACACAGCGCAGCCGCCTCCGTGCCTCTCTGCCTTTATTGGGGCCCAGGGGAGCCCCCCCCCCCCGCCCACAGCCACGGGACAGAGGCCCCGCTGGGGCCGGCCTCAGTGCTCCTTGCGCCCGCGCCGCTGGCTGTGGAACTTCTGGTGTACGACCCGCAGCGTGGTGAAGAAGTTGCCCAGGAAGAGCAGGAGGAAGGGGAAGCCGCACATGAGCACCTGCGGAGGGGGCGGGGTCAGGCGGGGCGGGGCCTCCCGGCCACGCCCCCGGGGCCAGGCTCACCTGCCACTCCTTGCACTGAGGGTCCTGCGCCAGGTGGAACAAGGTCAGGGCGTTGAAAAGCTGCCAGAACTGAGGGAGAGGGCTGCGCTCAGTGAGCCTCCGGGGCGCGGGGCGCGGGGCGCGGGGCGCGGGGCGCGGGGCGCGGGGCGCGGGGCGCGGGGCGCGGGGCGCGGGGCGCGGGGCGCGGGGCATGGGGCGCGGGGCGGGGCAGGCCCAGGCGGGAGCGACTGACTCACGTGTCCAAAGAAGAGGAAAGGCAGCAGGAAGGTGAGGCCCCGCCACATCCAGGACTGGAAGCCCTCTGCAGGGAGAGAGGCCCGGGTGCGGTGGGCGCGGTGGGCGCGGCCCCGCCCACTCACCCAGGGTCAGGTCCATGGTGGGCCTCTCGCCCAGGGCGCGGCCCTGCCCACTCACCCGCGGTCAGGTCCATGCTGGGCCTCCCGCCCACTCACCCGCGATCAGGTCCACGCTGGGCCTCTCGCCCAGGGCACGGCCCCGCCCACTCACCCACGGTCAGGTCCATGGTGTGCCTCTCGCCCAGGGCGCGCAGGCGGTACAGGCAGCCGCTCTGGTAGTAGTACTGCAGGAACTGCACGAAGCCTGCAGGGCGGGAGGGGACAGCTGCGGCCGGGCCCGGGGGCGGGGCCTGGAACAGCCTTGCACTCGCCTGCCCCGCCCCGCCCCGCCCCTGCACGGACCCCAGACACTCACTCTGGTACATGGAGAAAGACAGAAACTGGTTCCGGAACTTCTGGTACATGAGACCATCGGGCCTGAGGGAGACAGCGGGAGGGGGGAGGCAGGGAGGGGCTTGGGGACGGCCTCCCGCCCGGCGCCCCGCCCCCAGTGCGAGGTCCCGCCACTCACCACGTGAGCATGACTCCGGACAGGAAGGTGGACACGTAGTGATGGAAGACCCACCAGCCTTTGATCCTGCATCAGGAAGCCACTGTCAGCCTCGGGTCCCCGCGGCAGGGGTGGGGCCAGGGGCAGGGGGAGGGCTGGTGGCTGGAGGAGGGTCCCGGCCGGGGGCGGGGCCAGGGCGGGGGAAGGCTGGGGGCGGGAGGAGGGTCCCGGCCGGGGGCGGGGCGCACCGCGAGCCATTGCTGATGAGGATGTTCTCGCGGATGGTCAGCGTGCAGTAGTACCAGACCAGCAGGAAGTTGAAGGCGGCGTCGGTCACCCTGGGCGGGAGGACACGGTGGGTGCTCCGAGCCGGGGACGGCTGGGCGCCGGCCTCCCGCCGCCAGACACCCACCTGGAGTTGAACAGGAAGCGGCAGGTGAACGAGATGAGGATGAGGATGATGGTGAGGTAGAGCTTGAACTTCTCGTACTCATCTTTGTAGGCAAACCTGGGGGCGCACACGCTGCTGGGGGGGCTTGCGGAGCGGGGGGGAGGGCGGCAGAGGGGGCGGCAGAGGGGGCAGCCCCCAGCCCCAGGGCAGAGCCCCCCCCCCCCCGCCCCGGGGCAGCAGTTACTTGGCCTGCTTGCTCAGGAGGGTCACGTTGACATTTCCCAGGACCAGGCTCAGGTACAACCTAGGGGAGGCCTGGAGTCACACGCGGGCCCGAGGGCACCGTCCCCAGCGTGCCGGGTCCCTCTCTCAGCCCCGCCACCCGCTGCCCTCCCCACGACCACGGCCTCACTTAGGGTCTGCACCGTGCACACCAACCCCAGGCGACCCCAGCCTTCCTCCCTGCCTGCTCCCGGGGCGCCGACCAGGGATAAGGCGGAGCTCCCCCCGACCTCGGGGCTTCAAGCAAAGCCTGCGCCCCAGACGCTGTCCCCGCTTCCCAGACGGCCCACGGGCCAGGGCAGTGGACTCGGCCCGACTCCAGGAGCCGCCGGGCTGTGTAGCTCAAGTGTCCACAGCCACCCCGGGAGACTCGGGGCTCGGGTTCTGGCCTCGCACCCTGGCCGAGTCCTTGTGGACAGGCCCCAGGCTCACATCACAGACGCCGGCACGGCTGTCCCGCCCTCCTCTGCTCACGGCAAGGTCACCGTCACTCAGTCACGCAGCTGCCACGGCACCTAGGCTCGCTTTCACACCGAGCTGCTGCGTGGGCAGAGACCCGGGGACGGGACCCCCGACCCAGGCTGCTCCCAGCCCAGCCCACCCTGCAGGCCCCCTGTCCTGTTCCCAGCAGGGGCCGCCCCCCCCACCCCAGCTCAGCCAAGCTGCCGCTGCCTCCCTGCCTGCCTGCCTGCCTGCCTGGGCACCTCGCCCATCAGGCCTCCTGGCCGCTTTCCTGGGTCCTTCCCCTCGGCCAGCGCCCTCCTCTCACAGGGAGAGTGCTCGAGCCCTCCACAGGCGCTGGGTGACAGCCACACCTGCGCCTGCACCCACGCCTGCGCTCCACTCTCCTTCCCACGGGAGTCAGCTAAGCGGGCTGCTCCCCACCCCCACTGCTCCAGCACAGCCTCTCTCCCAGGCCTCTTCCCTTCCTACTCCCGGGGAAGCCGGGCTAGGGGCTCCTGCCCAGCCAAGGGTCCCGCCCGGGCCCGGCAGGCAGCCGATGCCTCCTCCGGGCTCCCCTCCCCTGGCTCTGGGGTCCCCTGCTCCTGCCACCCTCCCGGGTCTGCCTCGGTCTCATTCTGGAAGACAACCCCGGCCCTGAAGCCCTCTGCGATGCCTGGGCCGGCACCGGGCCAGGGTGGGGGGAGGGGGCGGGGCCAGGGTGGGGGAGGGGGCGGGGCCTGGGCGGGGCCTCACCCGTTCTTCTTGGGCAGGTAGGCCTCCATGTCGAAGAAGAGGCCCTGGCGCTCCTTTATCTGGCCCTCGAGCTCCAGCGCGGCGCGCCCGGCCTCTGATGGGAGGGAGGGTTTGCATCTGCAGGGGGGCCAGAGTCAGAGCAGGCTCCCAGTGCCCCACCCGGCACCCCGGGGAGCCTGCCGGGGCTGCACCCCCGGCCCCAGCCCGAGGGGGGCCTCGCGGGTGCCCCCGACCTCTTGAGGACGAGGGCCAGCTCCTGGAGCCGTTTCTTCTGCCGAGATATGGAGCTGGTGCAGTTGTCCTGCAGCTTGGTCAGCTCCTCCAGCTGCAGGCGGTACAGCCGGTGGGTCTCCTGGGGACGGGGCGGGGTGGGGGCGGCGGGTGACCAGGCTGGCTGGGCCACAGCCGCTGGGCACCTCGGGACTGTGCCAGCTCTCTCCCCAACACCCCCTGCATGCCGCCCCGGCAACAGGCCAGGTCCCTGGCGTCTCCTCCATCTCCCAGCTGCCCCTGTCCCGGCCGCGGGCTCGGTGTGGAGCCCTGGGCTGCCTGGAGCTCCCCCTGCCCCCTGGAGCTCCCCGCCCATCCACCCTGCAAGGAGGGGGAGGGGATGCAGGGACCTGGGAGGCTCCTGCTCAAGCCCCCCCCATCTTCCTCCCAGGTTAAAGGCCATCAGGGTATAAGGCCAGCCCCCCCCCAGCACCTTTGGCCCACAGCTGCCAGAGCACTTTGCCCTGGTGGGTGAGTGTGGAGAAGGTGGGTGAGTGCCAGAACCCGAGAGGCCGGGAGCCCGGGGCAGGGTTCCCTGGCGATGCCCTCAAGGCAGACCAGGGACAGAGAAGGGCTGCCACACCTCCTCCCTCCCTGACCCCAGAGCACAGCCACGATGGCCCGCTGCCCATCTTCCCACCGGCCTCGGGGACACCTCGCTCCCGGGCAGGCACCGAGAGTCCCTGCAGGGTCGGGTCCCGCCCACTTCTCCCCTCCTTGCAGCGGTCACACGGGGCTACCAGGTCTCTCGATCCCTTTCCTACGGCGTGCGGGGCGCTTCTGCCTGCCCAGGGACCACCCCCGCCCCCAGTCCACATCCCCACAGGGCGTGCCCAGGCCTCCCAGCACTCGGCCCACGGCAGGTCCGCTGAGACCGGCCAAGGCTGGGCCCGCTGGCTCTGGCTCAGGCGGCTGCTCTGCAGGGAGGGGCCGGGGTCCGGCTCCGACCCGGGGTGCGGAGGGCGAGGCACAGCCCCAGGACCGGGTTTCTTTCCGAAGCCCTCATGGGAGGCCGGGGTCACCCAGCGCAGTGGAGTCCGCTGGGGTCGCGGCGGCCACTGGACATCCACGAGAGTCTGGCCAGGGACACCGGGGGTTGCAGGGGCCGCGCCGCCCTCGGAAATGGAGCGACGCCAGGGCCCGACCCCTGACCCCGAGCTCCCGGCTGCCGGACCCGGGGCTGCCCGACCCTTGACCCCGAGAGAGACGTGGCTCGGGGCCAATGGGCACCCGCAGCGGCGCTCACCTGGATGCGCTGAAAGTCCTGCTGCAGGTCCTCCCACTCCCGCAGGCAGTCGCCCAGCGGGCCCGGGGGCGGGGGGTGCATGGCTGCCGCACCGCGGGCCGCAGGAGCCCCAGCGAGGACGAGGACGGCGCCACCAGCCCGGCCGGCCCGAGGCGCCTCCGCCTCCGCCGCCGCCCCCGTCCGCTTCCGGGCCCGCGCCCCGCCGCCGCCAACTGGAAAAGGCCCGGCGCGGGCCGCGCGCTGGCCCCGCCCCCCGCCGCCGCCAATCGGGGCGTGGGGCGGGGCGTCCGCACCCCGGCTTCTCCCCGGCGCCCCCGGCGGCTGCAGCCCCAGGCCCGGGCTCCCCAGGCCGTGCCGTGCCGTGCCGGCCGACCGCGTGCAGCCTCGGGTTGGATCGGGGGTCCCCTTGGGCTCTGGCTTGCACTGCCACAGCGGCGACCCTGCTCGCCACCTCTGTCCTTCACCCCGCCACCGAGGACACAAGGCCGAGTCCCCTCCGGGTCCTGCGCTGCCCAGCCCAGCGGGAGGGCCTGGCCCGGACTGCGCCTTCCTCGCCCCGCAGTCTTCGCAGGGCTGTCCTGAGAAGCGCTTCCCTTTCTGGCAGAAGCCCACTCCCTAACGGGCTTGCTGTTCTCGGGGGGGGGGGGGGGGGGGGGGCCCCCCGGGGGCCCCCCCCCCCCCCCCCTGGACTCCCCCCAGGTCCGGGAAAGGGGCTTTCGGAAACATGGGTGTGGGGGGTTGGGAGGGGCCTGCACAGGCTAGCAGCCCATGATGGGGAGGCAGCGGCAGGGGTCTCCATGAGCTGTTGGGCCAGGACACCTGCACCCATGGGTGGGCTTCGTGACACCCGCTGTGGGACCAACCAACCTCTGGGGCTCCCTCCCAAGAGTCCGCCGTGGTGGGGGTGTGGGGTTGGGGGTGGCCCCAGTTTCGGGGAGCCTGAGCAACGTGCAGCTGCTGTGGGGGTGGACATGGAGCGTGGGAAGAACCAGTGCAGGAGCCAGGTGGGTGTTCAGCGGCAAAGGCCTTCTCCTTCCGGAGCAACCTGGGTACACACCCTGCCCCGCCCCCTGCAGTCCCCGAGGGCCCCGGCACCGGGCCGGGCGCAGAGGTCAGAAGCACGGGTCCGAGACGTCCGTGACGCTGTCGCCTAGGACGACCCTCTCCCAGCCCAGCAGCTGGGCCACCAGGGCCCGATTCGGGTGCATGTTGTTCTTGCACTTCTTCACGTGGTCCCAGGACCTCTGCGGAAACAGAGAGCGACAAGACCACGTCGGCCCCCGGCCCTTCCCGCCCAGATCCCAGCCACCTCTGGTGGACAGGAGGGACGGGCACGTGGCCTCTTGGGACGCCCCCTCCCCTGTCAGAGTGTCTGGGCTCAAGTCCCGGCGCCGCTTCTGGCCCCAGCTTCCTGCTAGGGCACATCCTGGGAGGCTTGGGTCCCGGGCCCCCGGGGGAGAACCAGACCCCGACTAACTCAGCCTCGGCTACTGCCAGCATTTGAGACGTAAACCAGCAGAAGACAGACAGACAGGCGGGAGGAACTCGGCCAGGGGTCCACAACGTGGCTTACAGCCTGGGGCGACTTCGTCAGGGCAGGGAGTCGCGCCCCGTGCACCTCTGCTGCTGTATTTGGGGACGGAAGGCATTCCAGCTCAGATGCCCCCGTGAAGAGGAGACCGACATATGTGCAACCTCCCGTGGGCAGGAAACACCCTACCCGAGCCTGGCTCTCGGCGCGGCGGCCACAAAGGTCTCCATTGTGCCGGGGTGAATCCAGGGAACGGGGAAGCGAGCTGTGGGCGATTTCTCAGAACGAGGACGCTAAAGCTGCCTCCTCAGGCGTTCGCCCGGAGGAGCAGAGAGGGTGACAGCACGTGGGCGGGTGAGCCCCTGGTCTCCGGGGCTGAGGGCAGAGGAAGGAGGAAAAGGACGAAGGCCCCACTGCGGGGCCTTGACAGCCGAGGGACAGGGAAGGAGGCCGTTCGTGGAAAGCCCGCGGTCAGCCTGCACGTCCTCCCTCCGAGGTCAGGAACTAGACAGGGGCACCCACTGTTGCCACTTCTGTTCTGCACGGCACTGGGAGTCCTGGCCAGAACTGGGCAAGAAGAGGAAATATAAGGTCGCAACTGGGAAGGAAGAAATAAAATTATCTCTGTGCAGGGTCTCCCATACAGAAGCCTCCAAGGGTCACACACTCGCTCTCACACTCACACACACACACACACGTACCCATTACATGTAATAAACGAGCGCAACAGAGCTGGCAAAAACAGATGCTCAGCACCAAGGTTAAGCTGCCTCTCGGGGAGCCCACACCCATGTCAGGGCACCTGGGTTTGGGTCCCGGCTCTGCTCTCCACCCCAGCCTCCTGGGAGGCAGCAGGTGATGGCTCAGGTACTTGGGTTCCTGCCACCCACATGGGAGACCCAGAATGAGTTCTGAGTTTCTGGTTTTGGCCTGGCTGTTGTGTGCATTTGGGGAGTGGACCACGGCTGGGAGTTCTCTGTCTTTGCTTCTCTGCCTCTCAAGTAAGTAAAATCAGTTGTGTTTTTATATATTGATAATGCATGACACAAAAGTCAAGAAAATAATTCCATTTGCCATAGCATCAAAACGAACAAAATACCTAACCAAGGAGGCAAGAGACTTGTACACTGAAAATGACAAGACATTGCTGAGGAAAATGAAAAAAGACACAAATAAACGGATATCCCATGTTCATGGATTGGAAGACAATATTTTTTAAGATATTGCTACTACACAGAGCAATCTACAGAAGTGAGATAATCTGCATCAAATTCCAATGGCTTTTTTTTTTTTTTCAAAATGAGAAAAAGCCTAAAATTCACATGAAATTGCAAGGGACTCCAAATAGCCAAAATGAGTCTTGTGAAAAGAAAAAGTTGGAGGCCTTGCACTTCCTGATTTCGAACCTTATTAAAAAGCTATGGTAGGGGCCAGTGCTGTGGCATAGTGGGCTAAGCCTCTGCCTGCAGTGCTGGCATCCTATATGGCTGCTCCACTTCCATCCAGCTCTCTGCTGTGGCCTGGGAAAGCAGTAGAGATGGCCCAAGTCCTTGGGCCCCTGCACCTGCACGGGAGACCTGAGAGAAGCTCCAGGCTCCTGGCTTCAGATCGGCTTAGCTCTGACTGTTATGGCCACCTGGGGAATGAACCAGTGGATAGAAGACCTCCCTCTGCCCCTGCCTCGATGTAACTGCCTTTCATTTTTTTTTTTTTTAATTTCATATTTTTTTTGACCGGCAGAGTGGACAGTGAGAGAGAGAGAGACAGAGAGAAAGGTCTTCCTTTTGCCGTTGGTTCACCCTCCAATGGCCGCCGCGGCTGGCGCGCTGCGGCCGGCGCACCACGCTGATCCGATGGCAGGAGCCAGGAGCCAGGTGCTTTTCCTGGTCTCCCATGGGGTGCGGGGCCCAAGCACCTGGGCCATCCTCCACTGCACTCCCTGGCCACAGCAGAGAGCTGGCCTGCAAGAGGGGCAACCGGGACAGAATCCGGCGCCCCGACCGGGACTAGAACCTGGTGTGCCGGCCCCTGCAAGGGGGAGGATTAGCCTAGGGGAGCCCGCGGCGCCCGGGGTAACTGCCTTTTCAAAATACATAAATTCTTTAAAAAGAAAAAATGCTAATAGCAATCAGAACTGGTTTAATCAGAACTGTTGGACTGGCACAAAGACAAAAAGACCAAGGGAACAGAATAGAGAGCCCAGAAATAAATCCTACTTATGGTCAGTCTTTTCAATAAATAATGTTGGAAAAAACTAGATAGCTACATGAAAAAGAATGAAATAGAAATCGAGAAATCAATGGAGAAAATCGATGAAACCAACATCAGTTTCTTTGAAAAGATCCATAAAACTGATAAAACTTTAGCCAGGCTAACTAAGGCAGGGCGGGTGGGTACACATCACCGATACCCTAAAGAAGGTATCACTGCAGAGCCCACGAATGTAAAAAAAAATATATATATATATATATATATATAAAAAACTCTGTGCACAGAAATTGAATTGACCAATATTTTGAAAGACACAATCAGTGAAAACTCAAGAAATAGCCAATATGGGGCTGGTGCTGTGGTGCAGCGGGTTAAGCCATGGCCTGCAGCGCCAGCATCCCATATGGGCACCAATTCAAGTCCTGGCTGCTCCACTTCCGAACCAGCTCTCTGCTAGTGGTCCTGGGAAAGCAGTGGAGGATGGCCCAAGTCCTTGGGCCCTGCCACCCACGTGGGAGACCTAGAAGAAGCTCCAGTTGTTGTGGCCATCTGGGGGGTGAACCAGTGGACGGACGATCAATCCCTCCCTTTTTCTCCCTAACTCTGCTTTTCAAATAAATAACAACAAATAGGCAATATGACCATGTCTGTATCTACACAAAGAATCAAATCCACAATTGATAATGTTCCAAAATACAGTACCTGGCTCAGATGGATTCAAAAGCAAAATCTACAAATAATGGAATGTTACTTAGCTTTTTAGAACTCAGGAGATTATATATAAAGTGCCTACCATAGTCAGATTCATGAAGACAGAAAGTTGAATGCTGGTTGCCAGGGCCTGGGTTTGGGAGTGGGGAGTTAATTGTTACAGAAGTTTTAGTTTTTGCAAAATGAGAGAGCTTGGTTGCACAACTTGAATGAACTTTATACTACTGAACTGTACACTAAAAATGGTTAAGATGGTAAATGTCAAATGTATTTTACCATTTAAATAATAATAATAATAAAGCCAGCCTGGGGGCAGAGCTGTGCAGTTGGACGGCTTAGTAAGTCCTGGACAGGCCAAACAGACCCTTGTGGGAGGACCACATACACCCCCTCTAGCCCATAAAGCAGGTGCAGCGGGTGGGATGGACAGGTGCCGTTGGCCCCATTCTGCCTACAGAGGGGACGGAGGGTGAAGGGACATGCCCAGGTCACACCAGGCAAAGGCAGGGCTCTCCCCGCCCTCTCCGGGCCCTGTTCCCAGCCCAGGCTCTGCAGCCAGGCCATCAGGCCCCTGGACAAGGCCGTCCCCCTGCCGCAGGGCCCGTGTGGATGTTTTCATTCCACCACAGCGGCCTGGTGTGAACCCCTCTAGCGCCCTGGGAGTTCCGGGCTTTTTCTCCGAATCCCTGGAGGGGACAAAGGTACCCTGGGCAGTTTGAAAGCACCGTGATAGATTTCTTAAGGGCTTGCTGGCTCTGGGATCCCACACAACCTCACACCAAAGCTTCAGAAGCCCAGGTCACAGGGGCCAGCGGACTCCCTCCCTGCCCCCACCCTTGGCCTTAGCCACTGAGGAGCAGAGCTGGGGCCCCAGGAAGCAGGATACTGGGCACGGGCAGCCCTCACCCTTCTTCCCCAAGGGCTTGGATCCTCACAGCTAAGCCTGGCAGCAGGGAAAGCTAACCACCTCAGGGGGCAGGGGGCAGGGGGCAGGGGGCAGCCCTCCCTGGCCACACGGCTGCGGGCTGCTCAACGCCTTTGGCCAAGAGCTATTCAGACTGCATCTCTGGACGTGAGGTCTGGCAACGTGCCTCCCGAGCCCGGGTTCCTCCCGAGAGCAGGGCCACCCGGACCTCAGGGGCCAGGGACCGCTCACTCGCTGATCACTGAAGGACCAGTGACAAGCAGGGGACAGGAAAGGGCGGGGCTCGGACCTGCGGGAGGAGGAGCCCACTTTGCACTGGCCCCAGCCAGCCCGGGCGAGCAGTCTGTGACCCCCGCTTTCTTGTGGGGCCAGGGAGAGTGAGCACGGCGACCTGCTGGAGCACACACTGGCCATCAGGGCTGGAGGACGCTCAAGACCTCCTCGTGCCGGGGGCCCAGCGGGGCAGGCACTGGGTGAGGGTCACTCATCTGCTCCTCTGCCACTCCAGGGGGCTCAGCGCCCGGGAACTCCCAAGGGCCCTGCGGCAGCAGGTGTGTGTGTGTGTATGTGTGTGTGTGTGTGGCAAGTTGTGCCAGCAGACCAGCGGGGAAGGAGCCAGCTCCCAAACAGCCAAGAGGCCCCTCCGGGACAGATTCCTGGGGAGGGGGCGAGAGCCACTCCTGCACAGAGGCTCCTCCCCCGACCTTGCTGCATCAGTAACCCCACTCCCCTCCACGACAAGCCAATCAAGCAAACTGCACCCCGACAGGGCGCGGCAAGGCCCTCGGGCCCTCAGTGCAGATTTCATTCTTCCAAATGTGGTAAAACACTCGCCACGTAAGAGCTACCAGTATTGTCACCAAACTCCATCGTCTTGTCTCCCCAAGCTGAACACCAGCTCGCCCCGCCCCCCCAGCCTCTGGAGCCCGCCGTTCGCTTTTTGTCACTGGCTTTGCTACCCCAGCTCTCCTGTCCAAAGGGAGTCCTCAGGTGGACGCTTTGATGGCCCTCGCGTGGGAAGGGCGAGGTTCACGTCGTCAAGGTTACGCTGCCTCCTGCAACCCCAGCATCCCGTATCAGGGCGCTGGTTCGAGTCCCGGCTACTCCGCTTCTGACCCAGCTCCCTGCTAAGGCACCCGGAAGGCGTTAGGTGACAGCCCAAGCACTTGGGCCCCTGCCACCCATGTGGGAGACTGCGGAGCGCGCTCTGGGCTCCTGGCCCAGCCCCGGCTGTCACAGCCATGTGGGGAGTGAACCAGTGAACAGAGGATCCATTTCTGTCTGCCTCTCTGCTTTCCAAATAAAATCAACCTTAAAAAAATACAATAAATCTTAAAAGAATTTCCTTTTTTGAGGCTGAATAATATTCCACTGCACATCGGCCACATCTGTACCACTCTTCCACCCGATGGAGGACACTTCCGTCTCCCCCGCTGGGTGCTGTGAACGCCGCTGCCGCCAACTCGCGTGAGTCTTCCGAGTCCCTTGTGGGCATAAACGCAGCAGTGGAGCTGCTGGAACTCCAAGACTCTCTCTAGCTGCAACTTCCCCTCCAAAGAGCCGGGTCTACACCCCCAGTCACTGGCCAGGGGGCTCTGCCGTGGTAGGTCTGAGTCCCTGCCCTTCCTACACACACCTCTGGGGACCCTGGGGGCTTTTCCTAAGCTCCCCGAGTCCAGGAACCGGCTGCCCAGGGCGGGGTGGCACATCTCCAAGGAAGCACAGCCCGGGAGACAGGAGCCCCGAGCCTCCTGGGCTTTCCACAGCGGCTTGGACTTCCCTGCCCTCCCCAGGGCCCGCCCTCGAGGTGACGGAGGGCCCTTGAGGGGACCCTGACGGAGCCTGGCCAGCACCACGGTCTGGACTCCAAGCAGTGCTCCCTCGGATGACCCCAGACGCGTGCTAGGGATAGGCTGACGGCACTGATGCTGCCCAGCTGGGTTCCCGGGCCTGCCCCGCACCTGTGAGCTCACGGCCTGAGGCCTGGCATCTGCCGCACTCAGGTACCACCTGCGGGGCGACGCCCCAGGGCTGGCGCTCCCTGCCCCCACTCTCCCCCTCTCCCCACTCCTACCCAGTTAGGGCCCCAGGACCCCCCTGGAGCCTGTTCCTCCCAGCCTGGCTCCGCCCCCACCCCCAGGGTAGGGGTAACGCCTACCTTCAAGGTCTCCTGGTTCTCGTGCATGAGGAAGGCTATGACCGCAGCACAGCTACGACCGATCCCTCGGGTAGAAAAGACCAGGACGGCGGAGCCGACCTGGAGGTGAGCTTCTGCGAAAGGAAGGGCAGGCGCGGGGGTCACGCATGGCCCCGAGACTCCAGCTTCCAGGTTGTCCTGGACAAATCACGCACTTCTCTGGCTGGCCAGCGGGGGGTGCTCACACTTGCGGGCATTTGAGAGACGCAAGCCTGGGCTCCTGACCCAGGAAGTTCGGTTGTCACTTGTCCTTTAGGGTGGGGACACACAGGCACCGACAGAGGCAGTGTGGCCCGTTTGCAAACCCCAACACTGCCGCTCGCTGGCTGTGGGGCTAGGGCAAGTTACTCAAAGCCACGGTTTTCCTCATCTGGAAGATGGGCTAACAGTCCACTTCCCAGGGTTTTTGTCTTGTCCCGTGGCTCAGCCAAGGGCCAGGAAATGTCAGCTGGAATCCCACGGCCCTGGAGGCTGAGAGCCGCCCCCAGTGAGGGGCAGGGGGAATCAGAGCTGATATCCTAGGCTGCTCTCATAAACCCCAAGAACAGCAGCCAGATGACGCCAAGTGCAAGGTCACAGACTCAGGGCCAGGAAACGAAGGCACACACCCTAAGGACCAGCCCAGAGCAGCAGCAAAGGGGGCTGAGGGTCAGACCCTGGTCAGGCGACAGCAGGCACCTGCCAGGCAAATGAGGGAGGCTTGAGCCAAGACACTGCTTCCCCAGCCCTAGCGCAGGGCTCCAGCTGGGGCTGTGCAGGTGCCAGGCTGGCTGCTGTGGGGGCCGGGGCGGGGAGGGGCTGCGGCCTGACTCAGCCTTGCTCTCTCTGGGGACCTTGCTTGCCAGGGACGATCCTGCCCATCGACTAAAACATCTCCCCTCGGCACAGGTGTCTCAGCACCGCGGTTAAGCAGCCTGCATCCCACACCAGGATTCATGGTTCAATCCTCAGCTCCGGCTTCCGGCACAAGCAAAATCCACCGGCCGCTTTGCTCTGTGTTCTGAGACCACAGGGGGCTGGGGGACGGTGGAGTCACAGCCAGGAGGGCTCGAGGGCTTCCTCCTACCCCACCCCCACCGAGCCCAGCTGAGGGCAGGGACGCAGTGAGACTGCTCCGGTCCCCAGCACCCAGCCTGGAGCTGGCCTCCCCAAATCTGTGCACTGTGGTTAGCTGACACCCTCACTGTATCACAGGCCCGGGAGAACACAGCAGTCCAGCCAAAGCCCCAACACACACGCCCCGCACCACCCAGAGTCTGCGGCTCTGACTGGGCCCCAGTGCCCCCCAGATAAACGTCCAGGGGGCTCACGGTGCCTGGGGGACCTGAGAAGCTACACTTGTCAAGCCCCAGCCCGGCAAGTGTTCTCTCTCTCTCTCGTGGGCCTCGGGAGGCCCAGTCAGGAACAGGGCAGGAGGTGCCGTGACCACTCTGTGTCCTAGGCACAGGCCGGCCGCCAGCCCGTGAGCTCCTTACCGATGAAGTGACAGAGGTGGCGCAGGAAGGGGAGCATCTCGGCTTCCAGGGAGTCCTCTACGGGGATGTGCAGGAGCCTCCCCGCGTCGCCTCTGAAGCTGAACGGGACGACAGCACAGGGTAACGGGGCAGCCTGCACGCAGCCCCAGGCGGGGACCCCACGATGGGGAAGGCCGCTGGGCGGGCAGCAGGGTGACGTGGGCTGGTAACTCAGCCTCTCTCAGAAAGCAAGGGCCGTGGGGCCAGCGTTGTGGGGCAGTGGGTTAAGCCGCCACCTGCGACGCCGGCATCCCAGAGGAGCACTGGTTCCAGTCCACGGCTGCTCCGCTTCCAATCCAGCTCCCTGCTAATGCTCCTGGGAAAGCAGCGGAAGATGGTCCAAGTCCTTGGGCCCCTGCACCCACGTGGGATGGAGTTTCTGGCTCCCAGCTTCAGGGTGAACCAGGGGATGGAAGACCTCTAACTCCTAATTTCAAATGCGTAAGTAAATTAAAAAAAAAAAAAAGATTTGAAAGAGTTACAGAGAGAGAGAGGTCTTCCATCCGCTGGTTCACTCCCTAATTGGCCACAAGGGCCAGAGCTGCACTGATCCGAAGCCAGGAGCCAGGAGCTTCTTCCAGGTCTCCTACATTGGTCCAGGGGCCCAAGGACTTGGGTCTCCCACGTGGGTGCAGGGGCCCAAGGACTTGGACCATCTTCTACTGCTTTCCCAGGCCACAGTAGAGAGCTGGATCGGAAGTGGAGCAGCCGGGACTCGAACAGGCAGCCATATGGGATGCTGGCACTGCAGGCGGCAGCTTTACCCGCTGAGCCACAGGGCCAGCCCCAGTAAATCTTCTGAAGCAAGCAAGCAAGCACCTGGCGCTTACGCGGGCCGTGAAGACTGAATGGGTGACTCTGTGTCAGGTGTTAAATGCGACATCATTAACCACACCCTCGGAACCTTCTGAGAATCAGGATGGCAGTGTGGTTAACAGCCTTGGCGGACGAGCCTCAAGCAGAGAGCCATGGGGGAGGCCTCGCGGAGGTGGGAGGTTGGGGCCAGGGGAGGGGAGGGAGCAAGCCAGGCCAGCACGGAGGACAGGTCCAGGGGACTTGCGTGTGCCAGGGCCCTGCGAGGCAGTGGACTGCGTGTGTTTGAGGAGCAACAGGGACATCCGAGAGGCTGAACTTCATGAACACGGAGAGCGACCGTGTGCAGCACGGCCACAGTGAGGATGCCTGCGGGAAGCCTGGGCCGCGCTGTGGACAAGCGACTTAGTAAGTGTTGTTTTGGAAGATGAAGGGCTGCTGGCGACACTTGGGGGCACGCAGACCCCTGGGGCAAGCACAGGGCTGCAGCAGGCTCGGAACAAGGCGGACTAGGACCACCACAAGCAAGTTCACCGTATTGACCTCTCGCTCCCACCCTGCCCATCCGGCCAGCCATCCTTCTGGGACATTCCTTCATTTGGTGCCTCTCGGGGGCCAGACCTTGGGCTGGAGTCCACTGGACACAAGATGAATTAAACTTCTCCCAGGTTCAAGGAGTCCCCAGTCTGATGGGGGAGGCAGACGTGAACAGAACCAACCCAGTGGGCTAAGGCTGGGGGATTTCCACAGCCTAGCAACAATCAGCTCAAAACCAGAATTCTTAAAATATATTTTTATCCAAAAGATCAAATACTTAGGAAGAAACCGAACACGAGACCTGCAAGCTCTGAACACACTGAAGCTACAAGACACCCTCAGAGACGTGAGCGGCCACAGTGGGTGCGGAGCGGGCACACGACAGGCTGACAGGGGACTCGACGTTGTCAGGGTGTGAATTCCCCACGTCGACCTCTGGGTTCAATTCTCTCCCCATCAAAACTATCAGGGGCCAGTGCTGTGGCGTAGCGGGTAAAGCTGCTGCCTGCAGTGCCGGCATCCCATATGGGCGCCAGTTTGAGTCCCAGCTGCTCCACTTCTGAGCCAGCTCTCTGCTGTGGCCTGGGAAAGCAGAAGATGGCCCCAAGTCCTTGGGCCCCTGCACCCGTGTGGGAGACCTGGAAGAAGCTCCTGGCTTCGGATCGGCATAGCTCCGGCTGTTGCAGCCAATTGGGGAGTGAACCAGAAGATGGAAGACCTCCCTCGCTCTCTCTCTCTGCTTCTGCAACTCTGCCTTCCCAATAAATAGATATTTTTAAAAAATTCAAGTGAATGGCCGGCGCCACGGCTCACTAGGCTAATCCTCCACCTTGCGGTGCCGGCACACCGGGTTCTAGTCCCGGTCAGGGCACCGGATTCTGTCCCGGTTGCCCCTCTTCCAGGCCAGCTCTCTGCTGTGGCCCGGGAGTACACTGGAGGATGGCCCAAGTGCTTGGGCCCTGCACCCCATGGGAGACCAGGAGAAGCACCTGGCTCCTGCCTTCGGATCAGCGCAGTGTACCGGCCGCAGTGGCCATTGAGGGCTGAACCAACAGAAACAGGAAGAACTTTCTCTCTCTCTCTCTCTCTGTCTCTCTCACTGTCCACTCTGTCTGTCAAAAAAAAAAAAAAAAAAAAAAAAAAAAAAAAAAAAAGAAGAAGAAGAAAGAAAGAAAGAAATCTTCCAAAAATTCATGGAAAATATGTATTTTGAAAAAACTACTCACAGATTCCAAAAACATTTTGCACCCAAATAAATGTATCTTCTAATTCCTTTCTGAAGCAGCCTCCTCTATGAATGAACTACATTCTAACCCCTGGGGTGAATTCTCCATCCTCACACCAATGTCACAATGCTTTACTTGGGATAGATGGGTTTTTTAAGATTATTTGAAAGGCAGAGTGACAGGCAAAAAAGGAAGGAGGGAAAGGAGAAAGAGGAGGAAGGAGAGAGGGACAGAGGGAGAGAGAGAGAATTTTCCATCCACTGGTTCACTCCCCAGATGGCCACAATGGCTGGGGGTGGGCCAGGTCAAAGCCAGGAGCCAGGAGCTCCATCCGGGTCTCCCATGTGGGTGGCAGGGACTCAAGCCCTTGGGCCATGGAGCTCCATCCGGGTCTCCCATGTGGGCGGCAGGGACTCAAGCTCTTGGGCCATCACCTGCTGCCTCCCAGGTGCATTAGCAGGGAGCTGGGTTGGAAGTGGAGTGGCCAGGTCTCGAACCACCACTCTGATAGGAGACATGGGCACCCCACATGCAGCGTTACCTGTGGTGCCACAATGCCCACTCTGGGGTAGTATTTTTTAAATGCATTGACAGCTGGCCAAGCAAGACTTTTTTTTTTTTTTTTTTTTTTTTTTTTTTTTTGACAGGCAGAGTGGACAGTGAGAGAGAGAGAGAGAAAGAAAGGTCTTCCTTTTGCCGTTGGTTCACCCCCCAATGGCCGCCGCGCTGATCCAAAGCCAGGAGCCAGGAGCCAGGTGCTTTTCCTGGTCTCCCATGGGGTGCAGGGCCCAAGCACCTGGGCCATCCTCCACTGCACTCCCTGGCCACAGCAGAGAGCTGGCCTGGAAGAGGGGCAACCAGGACAGAATCCGGCGCCCCGACCGGGACTAGAACCCGGTGTGCCGGCGCCGCTAGGCGGAGGATTAGTCTAGTGAGCCGCGGCGCCGGCCGAGAATGTCTTCCATCTGTTGATTCACCTCCTAGATAGCTGCAGTGGCCGGAGCTGTGCCCATCCAAAGCCAGGAGCTTCTTCCGGGTCTCCCACGCGGGTGCAGGGGCCCAAGGACTTGGGCCATCTTCTGCTGCTTTCCCAGGCCATAGCAGAGAGCTGGATCGGAAGTGGAGCAGCCAGGACTTGAACCAGAAACCATATGGGATGCCGGCACTGCAGGCAGCGGCTTTACCTGTTACACCACAGCATTGGCCCCTCAACTGTATATTTTTAAAATTTAATTTTCTGGGGCTGCACTGTGGCACAGTGGGTCAAGCCAGTGCTGGCATCCATGTGGGTGCCAGTTGGAGTCCCAGCTGTTCCACTTCTGATCCAACTCCCTGCTTATGACCTGGGAAGGCAGTGGAGAATGGCCCAGGTGTTTGGGCCCCTGCCACCCACGTGGGAAACTGCCTTCTGACTTCAAGCCTGGCCCAGCCCCAGCCACTGCACCCATTTAGGGAGTAAGCCATCAGATGGAAAAAAATATCTCTCTCTCTACTTTTCTCTATAACTCTGACCTTTAAATAAGTAAATAAATCTTAAGGTTTTTATTTTTTTTTTTTAACTTTCTGGAGCCAACATTGTGGCACAGCAGGTAAAGCCACCACTTGCGACACTGGCATCTCACATGAGCACCAGTTCAAGTCCCGGCTGTTCCACTTCCAACCCAGCTCCCTGCTACCGCGCCTGGGAAAAAAGGAAATGATAGCTCAAGTTCTTTGGACCCTGTACCCATGCAGGAGACCTGGATGGAGCTCCTGGCTCCTGGCTGGCCCAGCCCTGGTTATTAAGGCCACTTGGGGTGAGAACCAGCAGATAGAAGAGCCCCCCCATCTCTCTTTCTGTGTAACTCAAATACTACAATTTTTTAAAATTTAATTTTCTGTTTCTCATTGGTATTCTGAAAAACAATTGATAGATGTATAGTGATCTTGTATCCAGTAACCTTACTTTTTAAGTCTAACTGGCTTTTCTTTGTACCTAATTATGTCATCTATGAATAATGAACATTTTCTGTTTGCCCTTTTTTTATTTTCCATTTCTTTTTCTCGCCATATTATAGCACTGTTGCTTTCCTATCAATACGTCAGGGTTGCTGCTCTGTAGACGCCACCTCCTGTCTCCAGACGCCAGGCTGAATTCTAGAGTTGGTTCCGTACAGTCTCCTGGAGGCCTCTATCAGGTGTGGTCAGGAGCTAGAAGTGGGCAGGGTTGCACAGGGCTGGGCCTTGGTGACCCCGCCTGCATACAGACAACAGAGACGGACAAGCAGGGCCGTGCAGGGCCATCCTGGTGACGGAGCAACCACGCTGGGTGAGGGAAAGAGCGTGAGTGTGTGTGTGTGTGTGTGTGAATGAGTATGTACATGTGAGTGTATGCGTGAATATGTGTGAGTACATGTGAGCGTATGCGTGTATGAGTGTGTGAGCATACATGATGTGTGAATGAGTGTGTATGTGTGAATGAGTATGTGAGCATACGTGTGTGTGTATGTGAATGAGTATGTGAGCATACAGGAGTATGCGCATGAGTGTATATACACATGTGTGAATGTGTGAGTATATCTGAGCATATGAGTATGAGCACACATGTGTGTGTGGATGAGTGTGTACATGTGAGTGTATGCGTGAATATGTGTGAGTACATGTGTGCGTATGCGTGTATGAGTGTGTGAGCATACATGATGTGTGAATGAGTGTGTATGTGTGAATGAGTATGTGAGATACAGGAGTATGTGCGTGAGTGTATATACACGTGTGTGAATGTGTGAGTATATCTGAGCATATGAGTATGAGCACACATGCGTGTGTGGATGAGTGTGTATGTGTGCACATGAGTGCAAGTGTACATGTGTGAGCAGACGTGTGTGAATGAGTGCATGTATGTGAGTACAGCTGTGCTCTGTGAGTGTATGTGTGAATGTGTGAAAGCACGCGAGTGTGTGCATGAATGTGTATATGTGTATGTGTGTGTACAGAGCATACATGTGTATATGTGTGAGTGCGAGTGTACATATGTGATTGCGTGTGAGCATACATGTGTGTGAATGTGTATATGTGTGCATGTGAGTATCTCTGGTCTGAGTGCATAGGTGTGAATGAGAGTATGAGAGCACACATGAGTGTGTGTGAATGAGTGTGTACGTGTGAGTGTGCACACAACTGAGTGTGTGTGTGAGAATGAGGCACAGGGACACATCGCAGAGGTCCTAAGACAGGAAGCAGAGTAGCCCCGGGCCCTGGCCCCATGTCGTGGAATACAGGAAAACACCACTGATGGCGACACTTACAGGTCTCAGTCGAGAGCAGGGAACACATGGCCTGGCACACAGGAAGCTCACAGCCACCGCCGCCCCCACCCCTGCGTGTGCCATGCCCCAGGAGCCCTTTCGGCTGTACAAAGGCGCACGGAATTCCCTGGTGCTCAGGCGTGAGACCCCGGGCCCTCCCCGACTCACAAGGGCCCGGTCTCCATGCAGACATTCACGTGCGCCTTGATCTTCAAATCCTTCTGAACCTTAGGGTCGCAGGCCTGCGAGAAGCTGCCCAGGAAGACCCTGCCTGGCAGGATTTCCACGGGGTACGGCTGGAAGGCGTCCAGTTCCTGGGGTCGGGGAGGAGGAAGCCCGCTGTGAGCACATGGCCCAGGGGATGGGGAATTTCTGTCTTCACAGGTGGCTCGGGGAACCTGCTTGGAGGGGCGACTCCAGGATGGGAGACAGGACGGAGGCCCGGGCTTCCAGAGACTGGCGAGAGCCGCGGGCACGAGGAGCGAGCAGAGGACTCGGACCCAGCGGTGTGGAGGTGCGGAGCGCCAGGCCAGAGCTCTCCACACACCGCTGGCTCCCCCCGGGACACCTGTTTCACCTCTGGCCAGGTGCACACGGACTGGAGTCCAGGACCCTGTGGCTCAGAACCATGTCCAGTTGGGGCAGGTGTGAGAAAGCCAGGCACAGTCCTTTTACTAACTTGGAAACCACCAAGATGTCAACACGCTAAAAACAAAACTATTCACACAGAACAGAAAGTGCCATTAGAAATGAATCATGGGGGTTGACGCTGTGGTGCAGCGGGTTAAAGCCCCGGTCTGCAGTGCCTGCATCCCATATGGGCACCGGTTCTAGTGCCAGTTGCTCCACTTCCAATCCAGCTCCCTGCTAATGCACCTGGGAAAGCAGCAGAGGATAACTCAGGTCCTTCGTCCCTTGCACCCATGTAGGACACCCAGAAGAAGCTCCTGGCTTCTAGCTTTGGATCAGCTCAGCTCCAGCCATTGCGGCCATTTGGAGAGTGAACCAGCGGATGGAAGACCTCTCTCTCATATGCGCTCTCTCTCTCTCTCTCTGTAACCATCTTTCAAATAAATAAATCTTTTAAAAAAATCTTTTTTTCTTAAAGATGATTGTACGTATGTATGTATTTGAAAAAGCAGAATGACAGAGAGACAGAGACATCTTCTAGCCACTGTGCGCTCCCCAAATAGCTGCAACAGCCAGGGCTGGGCCAGGCTGAAGCCAAGAGCCAGGAGCTCCAGTCGGGTCTCCCACCACCGGTGACCAAGCCCCAAGCAGTGGAACCATCATCTGCTGCCTTCCCAGGGAAATCAGCAGGGAGCTGATAAGAAGCAGAGCAGCGGGGACTCCAATACCGGGAATCACAAGGGGCAGAAATCCCCGCCGCATGGTGCTGGTGTCCGGAAACCAGCCCTGACGAAGCAGCAGCGCGCGGGAGGCAGGGACAGGACAACCAGTCAGCGGACGCCCATGGCACTCTAGCTCCAAAAGCACCGTAAAAGTTTCCGTTTCTTTGAAACGCAGAGAAACGAGGAATGATTTCTTCGCTTCCCAAAGTGGGCTCTAAGAAACACTGCCCTCCCACAATGCACTGTGGATGCAGGAGTCACAGGACCAAGTGCATCCAGGCAGCCGACCTGCGTGACCTGGCGGCCCCCTGTGGCGCACGCGGGCAACCACGGGCTCCAGGAAGCTTCCCTCCATCAGTGCTCCCAGAGGCAGAGGCCAGAACGGGGGCAGGCGTCCAGTGTGCCCATCCCAGGTCGGCAGAGCGCCGGGGCTGACTCCAGCTCCCTGCAAATGCAGTCTCTGAGCAGGTGGGCTTCCCCAGCCCCTGGCTTCACTCCCTACCCAGCCGCAGACGCTGGGGGCGTTGGGGGAGTAAGCCAGCAGATGGGAGCTCTGTATCTGCCTCTCTCTCTGCCTCTCAAACAACTTAAAAGCAGAAGTAGTCAGGGGCCGGCGCTGTGGCGTAGCGGGTAAAGCTGCCACCTGCAGTGCCGGCATCCCATATGGGTGCTAGTTCGAGTCCTGGCTGTTCCCTTCCGATCCAGCTCTCTGCTGTGGCCTGGGAAAGCAGCAGAGATGGCCCAAGTGCTTGGGCCCCTGCACCCACGTGGGAGACCTAGAAGAAGCTTCTGGCTTTGGACTGGCACAGCTCCAGCTGTTGTGGTCCTCTGAGGAGTGAACCAGTGGATGGAAGACCTCTCTCTCTCTCTGCCTCTCCTCTAACTCTGACTCCAAATAAATAAATAAATCTTAAAAAGAAAAAAAAAAAAAACAGAAAAAGGTAAAAAACCAGTTAGTTCCAAAAGTCCTCTGGCTTCTGAAGTAACATCAGAAATAAGTGGGAAGTCGCACCTTAAGTACCTCTGGCTCCCAACGTCCACATCAGTCCCTGACCTCAGGCCGTCACCTCTCCCCTCCCCCGTGGTGACCCCACACAGCACAGGCTAGATAGAGCCCAGGGAGAGCCCCACAACTCTGCTACCAAAAAAAAAAAAAAATCTCTGTAAAAACTCAAAGCACATCAATCAACTCTCTTCCTGCTGCTTTCAAACCCACTTCCTTTTTCTGCAGTTGGGCGGCCCAGGCCAGGAAGACGGGATGATACAGAAACACTGGGCTCTAAAGACGAGCACACGGGAATGCTGGGTGACACCATGGAGGGAACCTAGCCACACGGAGCCCCACATATTCCTCCCCTCCCTCAGGGAGCCACCTACTGCCCACCTGGGAGGTGGCAGGTGACAGCACAAGTGCTTAGGTCCCCGTCACCCCCATGGGAGGCCCAGATGGAGTTCCTGGCTCCTGGCTTCAGCCTGGCGTGGCCCTGGGGGTCGTGGGCATTTGGGGAAGAGAACCACTAGATGGGGGCTCTCTGTCTCTCTCTTCCTTTCAAATAAGTTTTTTTTTTTTTTAAGATTTATTTATTTGAAAGGCAGAGTTACAGACAGAGAGGTCTTCCATGCGCTGGTTCACTCCGCAAATGGCCACAACAGCAGGAGCTGTGCCAATCCAAAGTCAGGAACTTCTTCCAGGTCTCTCCCATGAGGGTGCAGGGCCCAAGAACTCAACCCATCTTCCAGGAGCTGGTCAAAAGTGGAGCAGCCGGGACTCAAACTGGTGCCCAGAGGGCATGCTGGCACCGCAGGTGGAGGCTTAGCCTACTACACCACCGCATCGGCCCCAAATAATTTTTTTAAGGGAGGGTGAAATATCAGCAGAGAAAGGAGTGGCCCACACTTGGCAAAGTCGGCTGAGGGGGCTCACTCAGAGACGGGGCACACCCCAGCTGAGCAGGGGTCCCAGTGAAGGCAGGCATTGCTCCCCAAGCACAGCCTGGATTTGGGAACAGGGCTGCGCCCTCAGAGGTCCCCAACCGAATCACAAAGCCAGGCTGGAGTGCGGCAGCCACGGCCTTGGGCTGCCCGGGGAAGGGGAGAGGTTGAGGGGACCCCTGGCAGGGGCTGAAGGGAGCACAGCTGTCTCTCTTGGGGAGATCAGTGGCAAGAGAAGGGGCTGGGGTGAGGCTGAGCAGGGCCCCCCGAGAAACCCAGCAGAAGCACCCAGAGGCCGCTCGGGGGATTCCCTTCCACTCGCAAGCAGCAGTCACACAAGGTGGACCCCGTACACAGCCACCCCCACCCCCTGCAGCCAAAGGGGTGAGACCAGGAGAGGGGGAGCTGTCCTCACACCGCTGTCCCTCTGAGCCCCAGCCCTCCACCCACAACCTGAAGCCACCTGGGGCATGGAAAGGGAAGCCATCAGGTTCAGCCGCGAGCTCAGAGCGGGGACCTGCCCGAGCTGCACCACACTCCTTGCTTTCTTTCCTTTACAATTCTTTGTTAAATACATAAAAAGAGGAAGAACAGTGTGATAGAGTCTGTTACAGCCCGCGATTCCCTGGAGGCCAGGAGCTCCCCGCCGGGTGCTGTCACCTCACTTTTTTTTTGTGATCCCTAGATCCAGCTAGGGCTTGGAGAATCAGACAGTCAGGCGTGGACACGGGGTCTCCAGCCATGATGCCCCTTGAAAGGGTACAGCCCACCGTCTGGAGCTCCCCCTAGCGTTCCCTGCCCTGGGACAGGCCTGGGCTATGCCTAAACCTGACGGATGGGAATTATTCTTGCTGGTGGACCGGACTTCCCGGCTGCCTCCCCACCCCCCACCCCCCACCCCCTTCATTTCTCCCCTGCAGTCTCCTCTCCCCCCCTCCCCCGCCCCAAGCCCCCAGCCCACACCCAGCCCCAGCCCCAGCCCCAGCCCCTCCACTGAGCCGGGCTGTGCCCGTCCAGTCTCCTCTCGCTGCCCCCAGCCCCCAGCCCCCGCCCCCGCCCCCGCCCAGCCCATCCACTGAGCCGGGCTGCGCACGCACACAGCGCCCCGCCTCACCTGGGGCATCCAGATGATCTTCTGCGTCTGGAAGAAGTGGTAGCGGGCCGAGAAGCGCTCGTAGCCCCCCTTCAGGATGAGGATGGGGTGACGGGTGAGGTGGGCGAGAAGCCGGGCATACTGCACGGCCGCTCCGGACGCCAGCCCTGAGCGGAGACCCCGGAGGTGAGCGTCCCCCCGTCTAGCATGGGGGCCACTCTCTTCCCGAAAGCAACGATTTGAGAAGCTGCACCGAGGAGGCGGCTCCTTCAGGCCTCTCGTGGAAGTGAGTTGGGGCCGGCGCTGTGGCGTAGCGGGTTAGCTGCTGCCTGCGGCACTGGTATCCCCCACGGGCACAGGTTCAAGACCCAGCTTCTCTACTCCTGACCCAGCTCTCGGCTGTGGCCTGGAAAGCAGAAGAAGATGGCCCAAGTGCTTGGGCCCCTGCACCCGCGTGGGAGACCCAGAGGAAGCTCCTGGCTTCGATTTGGGTTTTGCAGCCATTTAGGAAGTGACCCAGTGGACGGAAGATCCTCTCTCTGCTTCACATAATTTTTTTTTTAAGTGAGTTAATTTGGGTGCCAAAAATGTTGAAATCCATGAACAGTCTTAAAGAGTACACATTTCCCCTGTATTACTGGAAAAAAACAGTTTTTGCACCAAAATGAACTCATACTCTTATAAGATTTTTTTATTTGAAAGGCAGAGGCAGAGAGAGAGAGGTCTTCCATTCACTGATTCACGCCCCAGATGGCTGCAACAGCCAGAGTTGTGCCAAAGCCAGGAGCCAGGAACTTCTTCCAGGTCTGCCACGTGGGTGCAGGGGCCAAGGACTTGGGCCATCTCCTACTGCTTCTGCAGGCCATAACAGAGAGTGGATCAGAAGTGGAACAGCCAGGACTAGAACCAGCACCCATATGGGATGTCGGCACTGCAGGCAGCGGCTTTACCTGCTATGCCACAGCACTGGCCCTGAACTTACACTTTTAATTCCAGTTTTCCACAAACTGAAGTACCGTCATATGAGGAAGGAAGAGTGTTCTGATTCAAATATGAGAAGCAGCTTCCCCACCAAGTGGATCCTTCCCTCTTTCTACCATGTGCGTATCATGCTGTACACAGTTAACCCGTGGAAAATGCACTTCTGGTGGTTTCTGATCTATTCAGAGCTAAGCCCCAATCACTCTCAGGACATCTCCTGTGTCTCAGAAAGAAACCCCGTGCCAGTCTCAGTCTCTCCTCCCATCGGCATCCCGACTCCCAGCTCCAGCGGCTGCAAGCTCTGGTTACCAACCCACCCGGTTTCTCCCTATGGATCTGTCTGTTCTGGACCCTGCACACAACGCAGTCAAGCAAACACGTGATGCTCTATGGCCGGTTCCCAACACCCACACTCATCTCCTCAACGTTCGTCCACGCTGTGGCGTGGGGCGCGACTCCCTGCCTCGTGTGGGTGAGCGCTATTCCATGCGTGGACAATTCCACACTCTGCTTGATGGACACCGGGACTGTTTCCATTTGGGGCCAGTATGAGTAATACTGCTACTAAGAACACTCAGGGGGCCGGCGCTGTGGCGCAGTGGGTGAACGCTCTGGCCTGAAGTGCCGGCATCCCATATGGGCACCGGTTCGAGACTCGGCTGCTCCACTTCTGATCCAGCTCTCTGCTATGACCTGGGAAAGCAGTGGAAGATGGCCCAAGTGCTTGGGCCCCTGCACCCACATGGGAGACCCGGAAGAAGCTCCCGGCACCTGGCTTTGGATTGGTACAGCTCCGGCCATTGTGGCCATCTGGGGAGCGAACCATCGGATGGAAGATCTCTCTCTCTCTCTCTCTCTCTCTCTCTGTCTCTCTCTCTCTTTGCCTCTCCTCTATCTGTGTAACTCCGACTTTCAAAAAAATCAAAAAAAACGCAGCCCTCAGGTGCCAGTGTCACTGTGGGTGTGTCTGCGTTTCTTCTGGGTACACACCCTCACCTGAGAAAACAAACCAAAGTTCCCTGTGCAGCCCGTCCACCTGAGACAACTTTTTGCATTTACCTAAAAGATGCTGTTTTCAATGAGAAGTCTTTGGAGGACGAGGCCGTTTCACGGTCCCTCTCTCTCTCCATCCCTCTCTTTGCTGGTTCCCAGAGGATGTCTGGGCATGGGGGCGCCTCCACCACGTGGAGCAGCCAGGACTTGCATCAGCACCCGTAAGGGCTGCTGGCACTGCAGGAGGGGGCTTAACCTGCTACCCTGCAACACCAGCCCAATAAGTTTTTTGAGAAGTTCATTTTGTTGCACACCAAAAAATTCTGAAATCCATGCATACTTTTTTCATAATATGAACTTTTTGAAGGTCTACCATATGCAGGAATTTCAATTTTCTGGTACCAAGACAAACTTAGTTTAATTCCATTTTCCACAAACTTTTTGACGCACCCTCACATGCATGGTGTGGTTTCGTGAGTGACAGCAGGAGCCCCTCGGCACCGTGAGGTCAGTTCATAAAAGGTTCCCTAGGGTTTCAGGGTCCAGACCAGAATCCTAGACCAGACTCCTGTAGATGGGTCTAGGGAAGACGGGACAACTTCCTAGCCAAGGACCTCCAGGGTATCAAGTCCCGGACGCCGGCTTCATCACAGCCAGAAGCTTAGCGCCACCTAGTGGCAGCCAGCGTGAGTGCCTGGGCTCTAGAACTGCACCTGCATATAGCTACTCCTGAGCCACAGGAGGGAGAGGTCCCCCCAAACCAATGGCCAGGGGTGCTCACCCCAAAGCCAGGAACTGTACGGAGAACAGGTGGGACCTCTGCGTTTCAGGGACCGAACGCTCCCATCTTGGGGCTGGGGCGACCTGCACTGACCTCCAAGCTTTGGGACACGAGACAGAGCCAAACCACTTGGGCTCGAATCCTGGCCCCACGCTCACCAGGTGTGGTGGTTTAAAACCACGTCCCTGGGGCTTGTGCTGTGGCATAACAAGTAAAGCCACTGCCTGCAGTGCCGGCATCCAACATGGGTGCCAGTTCTAGTCCCGGCTGCTCCACTTCCCATCCAGCTCTCTGCTGAGGCCTGGGAAAACAATGGAAGATGGCCCAAGTCCTTGGGCCCCTGCACCCTCATGGGAGACACAAGCAGCTTCCAGCTCCTGGCTCCAGATCAATGCAGCTCTGGCTGTTGAGGCCATCTGGGGAGTGAACCAGCAGATGGAAGACTGACCGACCAACTGACTGACCTCTCTCTCTCTCTCTCTCTCTCTCTCTCTCTCTGCAACTCTTTCAAATAAATAAATTTTAAAAAACACGTCCCTTGCAAACTACTCCCTTGGAAAGGTCACGCCTGCACATTTTCCGAAGCTCAGGAACACCAAACAGCCAGCGTCACCTGTCTTAGCGTTTCTGTGGGGCCAGAACCTGCAGCCGCTGAGCTGGGAGGCCAGGCAGGGCTCCTCCTGAGGCACAGGTGGGCTGCACAGGTGGCCTACCTCTACGGAGCAGAAGGTGGCAGAAGGGACGGTGCCAGTCCCAAGGCACGCGGCTTTCCTGCGTGTCCTGCCTCTCAGGTCGCTTGCTCTGGGGGAAACCAGCTGCCTTGCTGTGAGGCCATCTGCGATGTCCGTGGAGACATCCTGGAGGCCCCTTGGCTGGAGCCATCTTGGATGCCAGGCTTCCTGGCCCAAACCTCCAGGTGACAGCGGTCCTGGCTGAGTCCCAGCTAAGTAGCTCCTGAATTCTGGACTCGCGGAATCTATTAGGTAATTAACGGCTGCTTCTTTTCTCTTTTTTGTCAAAGATTTTTACTTATTTACTTGAGAGGTAGAGTTATAGACAGAGAAGCAGAGACAAAGGTCTTCCATCCACTGGTTCACTCCCCAAATGGCCACAATGGCTGGAGCTGGGCTGATCTGCAGCGGGGAGCCAGGAGCTCCTTCCGGGTCTCCCACGTGGGTGTGGAGACCCGAGCACTTGGACCATCCTCCACTGCTTTCCCAGGCTCATTAGCAGAGCTGGATCAGAAGAGGAGCAGCTGGGACTTGAACCAGCGCCCACACGGGATGCCAGCACCACAGGCAGAGGTTTAACCTACTACGCCACAGCACCAGCCCCTAATGACTGTTTAAGTTGCCGAGTTTAGGGGGTAGATCATAACTAATTCCCCAGGCGTGGGGCCCTGGGCGAGTATGTCACCTTTTCTGAGCCTGATAAACCACTTATGAAATGGGGGTCGTGTTCACCCTTAGGAGACGATCCTTCAGTGTGTGTCATACTTCTGCATGTCCCACACACAGCGGCACTGGCTGCTGTCACCGCAGACCACCTCCGCAAGGCATTTGCGTCCCAGTCTCAGAAGACAGTTTCTCCCTCCTTTCTGCCCATCGTAAGAGCCTCAGGCTCCCCGAAGTCCAGGGCTCGTCTCTCACGATGCAGCCCCTGCCTGCAGAGGTGTCACCCGGCCCCCTATCGTCCTCTTGTGAGAACGGGGGGTTGGAGGATAGTGCCGGAAAATGAGCATGTTCTCTCCACTCTCAGCGGCACAGTCCCGTGGCTCTGCCCCAGGAGGGCCGGGTCTCCGCCAGAATCACGAGGGCGGGCAGGCTAACTTGTCGCCTTGTGAGGAGGGTGAAACATCAGATCCCTGAGAGCTCCCGACCTTAGAGGGGTAGCACTGCAGGCTGCCCAACTGAGCCCGGTGGAGACCCTGGCACCGCGGCTCCCTGCACGGGGTATAGGTGTGCAGAAACTGTTAGCCATCTTCTTGTTGCTGCTGCCAAAACCCACCTCAGGGGGCTGGCGTTGTGACACAGTGGGTAAAGCCTCTGCCTGGGATGCCGGCATCCCATATGAGCCAAACTGGTTCAAGTCCCAGCTGCTCCACTCCGATCCAGCTCCCTGCTAATGCACCTGGGAAAGCCGCGGAAGATGGCCCGAGCGCTTGGGATCCTGCACTCACATCAGAGATCTAGATGGAGTTCCTGGCTCCTGGCTCCAGCCTGGGCCAGCCTTAGTCGTTGTGGCCATTTAGGGAGTGAACCAGTGCAGAGAAGACCAACCTCTCTCCCTCTCCCCCTCTAACTCTGCCTTTCAAACAAAATAATTTTTTTAAAGACGCCACCGACCGTGGATGGAATCCTCAGAGTCTGCGTTGTCTTCGTCGTCTTCGTCTTCACCATCTTTCAAGGGAACCTCCAGGGAGCTGGTGTTGCTGTCGTACACCACACAGTACCTCACGCACTCCAGGTCCACCGACTCCAGCATGAGAAACTCGGGGCCCCTCTGAGGAAGGCAGAGGCCCGTGATGGGGGGTTCCACGGAGCACACATTCCAGGAGGAGCCCCCCACCCCACCCCCGGCCACGCACACAGGCCGGAAGCTCCAGAGACGGGACGGCAGGTCTGTTCAACGCCGAGGGTTTTCCGCACCCGCACCCCCTCTGAAAAGTAGCTGACCACAACTGACTGGGCCGGGGATCGGAGCCAAGAGCTGCAGCCCTCTGTCCTGGCACCATGGCCGACTCTGGAGTTGCAAGCAAGCAGGGGTCATGACCAAATGGAATTCTGTGGGAACTGGGAATTTTTTTTTTTTTAATCACTGATGTATCGGTCTCTAGAACAGTGTCTGGCACGTGGACAGGTTCTCAGTATGGTTAAGTAAATGGTTGGCGGCACATGGGCGGGTCCTAAGCATGGTTAAGTGAACAGTGCCTGGCACGTGGTATAGGGCATAGATACGGTTAAGTGAATGCATGGGCAGATAAGAAGCCATGGGGCAGAGAGCAGTGGGTGAGCAGGCAAGGCAGGGAGAGGCTTAGTCACCGTAGGGTGGGCCACAGGGCAGGGCCACAGTGACCACCGGGGAGACCGGGAAAGTGCCAGGGGAGGTGATGTGGTCTTGTGGTTCCAGAACCACACAGGACCCGAAAGGGTGTCCCAGCGCTCAGGGACACGCTCACAATGCTCCCCATAAACCCCTGTGACTCAGGGGAACCTGAGCCTCATTCTGTCACAACCTGGTCTGGTCGAGGCGAGCGCCCCAGCACGTACACGCTAGCGGGACTGTCTTTTTAAAGATTTATTTAGGCACTGGCGCTGTGGCGCAGCGGGTTAAAGCCCCGGGCTGCAGCGCCGGCATCCCATATGGGCACCGCTTCAAGTCCCGGCTGCTCCACTTCTGATCCAGCTCCTTGCTAATGCACCTGGGAAAGCAGTGGAGGATGGCTCAAGTGCTTGGGCCCCTGCGCCTGTGTGGGAGACCCGGAAGAAGCTCCTGGCTTCTCAGCTCCAGCTGTTGCGGCCATTGGGAAGTGAACCAGCGGATGGAAGACCTCTCTGCAACTCTTTCAAACAAACAGAATTTTAAAAATGTATCTGAAAGTCAGAATAATGGAGAGAGGGGGAGAGAGATATTCCATCTGCTGGTCCATTCCCCAGATGGCCCCAACGGCCCGGGGCTGGGCCAGGCCAAAGCCAGGAGCTTCCTCCGGGTCTCCCATGTGGGTGCAGGGGCCCAAGCACTTGGAACATCTGCTGCTGCTTTTCTCAGGCCATCAGCAGGGAGCTGGAACAGAAGTGGAGCAGCCGGGACTCGAAGTGGCACCCATACATGTTGCTGGCATTGTAGGCAGCAGCTTTACCTGAGAGAGAGAGAGAGAGAGAATACGAACACAAATGTCCAAGACAACCTGGAGGACGAGCAGGAGGCACCTGGGATGGTGGGGACCAGCAGGAAATTTCCCAGCTGGCAGGGGCTGGGGCAGGAACAGCCTCCTGCCGTCTGTCTTAGCCCATATGTACTGAGCACCTGGGAGACGCTGGCGGGGACAGCATCCAAGACACAGACGAGCAGACGCACCGTGGCTGACAGAGCCCAGGCCTGAGACAGCCCCACATGCAGGGGGTCACACGGCCATATCACCCAGGTTTTAAGACATCCTCGAATGTCAGTTGTGTGCCACCATAACAAGATACTCACCAAACCCTGGAACAACGCCCCAGGCGGGGCAAGGTGGCACCTGGCTTCCAGGGAGACCTGAACCAGGACTTGCACCCATGCCCAGCTCAGGCTCCCGCCGCGGGACCAACCTGGCCCGCCCCCAGCCCGCACACCTTCTTCACTCGGATGGCTGTGATCACGTGGCTTTCGTCATACTCCCGTTTGGATCGAACATCTGCAGAGCGAAAAGGACGTTGCTGAGCGCCAGCCCCGAGAGGGCCAAAGTCCTCCCATCGCCATCGCCATCAACAAGAATGCCTCAGTGAGCTCACGGAAAATGGAATTAAAAGTTTATACTCGTGGGGCTGCCGTGTGGCCTAACAGGTAAAGCTGCTGCCTGCAGTGCTGGCATCCTACATGGGCGTCGGTTCGAGTCCCGGCTGCTCCATTTCTGATCCAGCGCTCTGCTATGGCTGGGAAAGCAGTGGAAGATGGCCCAAGTCCTTGGGCCCCTGCTCCTGCATGGGAGATCCAGCATAAGTTCCTGGCTTCAGATTGGCACAGCTCCGGCCATTGCAGCCATCTGGGGAGTGAACCAGTATATATGGAAGGCCTCTCTCTCTCTCTGCCTCCGCCACTGTGCCATTCAAATAAATAAACCTCCTTAAAAAAAAGATTTATTTGAAAGTCAGAGTTACACAGAGAATGAGAGGCAGAGAGAGAGAGAGAGAGAGAGAGAGAGAGAGGTCTTCCATCCACTGTGTCACTTCTCAATTGGTGGCAACGGCCGGAGCTGGGCTGATATGAAACCAGGAGCCAGGAGTTTCCTCTGGGTCTCCCATGTGGGTACAGGGGCCCAAGGACTTGGGCCATCTTCAACTGCTTTCCCAGGCCACAGCAGAGAGCTGGATCGGAAGTGAAGCAGCCAGGACTCGAACTGGTGTCCATATGGGATGCAGGCACTACAGGTGGTGGCTTTATCCACTAGGCCACAGTGCCAGCCGAATAAACCTTTTTTTTAAAAAAGAATGTTTATACTCACGCAAAAAATGTAAAAATCCAGATTTGTTTTTAGTATTATACATTTTCATATATTTTTGAATATCCCTTGTATGCATGGATTTTTATTTATTTTTTGCACAAAAGAAACTTTTTAAACTCCATTTACCACGAACTTTGTGACGCTCCCTCATATCTGTTTGGCAGGCAGGCAACAGTGGTCAGTTTGAGACTCAGGGGTGGGCAGTCTCACACTGTGGGCTTCTCGCAGCATGACCCCCCCATCATACCCCCACCTCCCCTCAAGGGGCAGTAAGACTGGATCGCTGATGGGAGAGGGGTTTTCTGCAAGGTCTCCAAAAAGCTGGGGAGGCCAGAGAGCAAAGGCGATCACGCTCACACTAGGCCCCGCTGGATTTTAGACCCAGACTCAGACCCGAGCGTGCAGGAGCTGACACTACACACTAACGCCCGGGCAGGACGGCGCGTCAGCTGTCATTCCCTTCAACGGCGGGCGGCACGTGGAGCAGGAGCCGAGCCTCACGCGTAAAACCTGAGACCTAGCAGATCTCTGCTCTACTTGTGGGGGGTGGGGGAACCACACACTAGGATGTTTCTGCCCACCCATGTGAGGCAGGGGGTTAAAAAAACACCTCCTTGGCCGTTGCCGAAGCTCACTTGGCTAATCCTCTGCCTGCGGCGCCGGCACCCCGGGTTCTAGTTCCAGTTGGGGCACCAGATTCTGTCCCGGTTGCCCCTCTTCCAGGCCAGCTCTCTGCTGTGGCCAGGGAGTGCAGTGGAGGATGGCCCAAGTGCTTGGGCCCTGCACCCCGTGGGAGACCAGGATAAGTATCTGGTTCCTGGCTTCAGATCAGCGCGGTACGCCGGCCGCAGCGCACTGGCCGCGGCGGCCATTGGAGGGTGAACAAATGGCAAAAGGAAGACCTTTCTCTCTGTCTCTCTCACTGTCCACTCTGCCTGTTTAAAAAAAAAAAAAAGTGCATCTCTAGACAGCACACAGACGGAGCAATTTTAATCCATTCTGCCAACCTTTATCTATTGATTGGAAGCTTAATCCATTCGAAGTAATCACAGATAAAGACTCAATTCTGCTCTTCTGCCGTTTGCGTCCTATGCGTCTTGCAGCTTTTGCTGTCCGTCACTTTGTGTTTAGTTGGTCTTCTATGGTGAAGTCCCTTCTCATTTCCTGCTGTGTGTGTGTGTTGCGTTTGCCCACTTTCTTGGTGGTTACCGGGGGGTTACATTTGATGCCCATATTAGTGCATTTTCCATGGCAATAACAAACCCGAGGCTGGGTAGTGTGTAAGGAAGGCAGGCTCAGTGCACAGTATGGGAAGACCAAGAGTGCGGCACCAGCTTCTGCCGGCCCTGGCGTCACGCTGGTGGGAGTGTGTACGGAGACCACCATGTGGTGGGCCGGGGGCCAGGAAGCAGGGAGGCACCGTCTTGCTCCCACAAGAACTCATGCACAGCCCCAGCACTGAGCCCCTGCCAAGGGCCACGCCGCAGCCTCGTTACATGCCGCAGGTCCGACCTGTCAAAGGCCCCTCCGCCTCTTTACTACTGCGATGGGAACCCAGCTTCTATCCATGAACGCTGGGTGGACAAAGCGCATCCCGACCACAGCAATATCCTGAAGTTAGAACACGCCCACCCGAATTCATACCGGCTTAACCTCAAGGAGCAAAAACTATGCCCCTTCACAGTCCTGTCCCCGATCTTAGGTTCCTGGTGTCACAGAATTCTCATACCGTGTGCCCCAGAACATGACTGTTTTAAGTGCATCAACCACTGAAGCCGACGAGCAAACGGTGCTAGCTTTCCTGATTGCCTGCCTGCTTATCTGTATTACTCCATCGACACTGAGCTACTGCTGGCTGTCCTTTGGTTTCTACTTTGCAGGACTGTGTTAGTGCTTCCTGCAGTGAGTCCAGTGCTAACGAACTCCCTCAGTGTCTGCGATCTGGAAACACCGATTTCCCCCTCGCTTCTGAAGGGCAGCTTGCCAGGTACAGGATGCTTGGTTTTCTCCTTTTAGCAATTAGAGTGTGTCAGCCCTCTGCCCCGGCCTCCTGACACGCAATCTGATCGTCTTGTAGAGGATCCTTTGTGATGGGTCACTTCTGTCTAACTGCTTTCAAGACTCTCTGTGGGAGGCCGGCATTGTGGTGTGGGGCACCAAGCCACTGCCCGCAGTGCCAGAATCCCACGGGCAAAGTGCTGGCTGCTGCACTTCCGATCCAATTCCCTGCCATGGCCCAGTGGGATGCACCCCTGGAATGCATGGATGGCTCCAAACACAAGAGCAATCCATGTGCAACACCACACGGACGGAATGGAACGTGAGAACCCCATCTCAGTAGATGAGGAAGCATTTCCCCAGTTTGCACAGCCATTCATGTCAAAACACTCAGAACAGTACAGAAGGGAGTTAGCAATGAAACCAGAAACAAAAGGCACCCAGATTGGAAAGGAAGAAGTCAAAATCTCTCTGTGTACAGGAGACATGGTCATATATGCAGAAGACCCTACCTAGAGACTCAACTACAAGTAAAAATAAACAAGTAACAAGATACAAAGACAACACATAGAATTCTGTCAGTGGCCTTTCTGTGCACAAACAATGAACTACCCAATATGAAAATTAAGAAAGCGGGGCCTGGCATTGTCACAAAGCAGGTTAAGCTGCTTTTTGCGATGCCAGCATCCCATAACAGAGCACTGGTGTACGTTCCAGCTGCTCCACTTCTGATCCAGCTCCCTACTAATGCACCTGGGAAAACAACAGAGGACAGCCAAAGTACTTGGGTGTCTGCCACCATGTGGGAGACCAAGATTCAGTTCCTGGCTCCTGTCTGGCCCAGACCTGGCTGTTGCAGCCATTTGGGGATTGAACTAGCAGATCAAAGATCTTCCCCCATCTCCCTCTCTCTCTGCCACTCTGCCTTTCAAATAAATAAATCTTTAAACAAAAAATAGCCCAGAACATGAGTCTTTAAGATTTATTTATCTGAAAGGCAGAGAGAGAGAAGTCTTCCATCTGCTGGCTTACTCTCCAAATGGCAGCAATGGCCGGGGCTGGGCTGATCCGAAGCCAGGAGCTTCTTCTGGGTTTCCCATGTGTGTGCAAGGGCCCAAGGACCTGGGCCATCTTCTACTGCTTTCTTGGGCCACAGCAGAAAGCTGGATTGGAAGTGGAGCATCCGAGACTCAAACCAGCACCCATATGGGATGCGGGCACTTCAGGTGGTGGCTTTACCCGCTGGCCCCAAAAAGTGAGTCTTCCAGGAACTTTTAGATTTAATCTGGAGTGATTTCAAAGTCATTTTACAGTCAGTAGCAAAAATTTGAGCTAATAAGCCTAACAGCTTTGCACCCTTGTTTGTCCCCTCCCTCCCAAACGTTAACTGTGGCTGGAGGGTGCCGCCTCTCAACACACCCAGGCCTTGTCACCACTCACCCAGTAAACAGAGGTAGTTGGGCTCAGCTAATCTGGAGAGCTTCGTGACCTGATTCAAGATGTTATAGAGCTCGGTTGGTTCACACAAGACCAGATCAGCCATCCTACGGGGAAGGATCAACAAGGCACAAGCTGAGCACTCCCGTGTTAGATGAATGAGCACCAAGTACGGAGCAGAGCTGCATCAACCCTCTCTAAACACCCCTGCAGACGCAGATGGAGGTAACAACATCAGAGACGGTGGAGGCTCAGGAGCCGGCACAGTGGTTCAGACACCCACAGCCCGTATCCCAGTGCCTGGGCCCAAGTCCCCACTGCACTTCCAGGCCGGCTTCCTGCTGATCCGCACCCTGGGAACAGATGGTGGTTCAGGTGCTGTGGTCCCTGCCACACATGTGAGACCCCCCCACCAAGATGGAGTTCCAGGCTCCTGGCTTTGGCCTGGCCTTGCCCTGGCTGTTGAAGCACAGCACTGCAGAGGGAACCAGTAAATGGCAGATCTCTCTCTCTCTCTCTCTTTTTTTTTTTTTTTTAAGATTTATTTTACTTGTTTGAAAGAGTTACAGAGAGGTAGAGACAGAGAGAGGTCTTTCATCTGCTGGTTCACTCCCCAGATGGCTGCAACGGCTGGAGCTGTGCTGATCCGAAGCCAGGAGCTAGGAGCTTCTTCTGGGTCTCCCACGCAGGTGCAGGGGCCTAAGGACTTGGACCATCTTCCACTGCTTTCCCAGGCCATAGCAGAGCGCTGGATCGGAAGTGGAGTAGCTGGGACTAGAACTGGCACCCATATGGGATGCCGGCACTGCAGGCCAGGGCTTTAACCTGCTGCGCCACAGTGCTGGCCCCTCTCTACCTTTCAAATAAACAAACAAAAGCAGGGCCCAGCACTGTGGCTTAGTAGGGTTAGCCTCCTTCTGCAGTGCCAGCAAACCATATGGGTGCTGGTTTATGTCCCTGTTGCTCCTCTTATGATCCAGCTCTCTCTCTGCTTATGGTCTGGGAAAGCCATGGATGATGGCCAAAGTGCTTGGGCCCCTGCACCCACGTGGGAAACCTGGAAGAAGCTCCTGGTTCCTGGCATCAGATCAGCTCAGTTCCGGCTGTTGTGGCCATCTGGCAAGTGAACCAGCAGATGGAAGACCTTTTTCTCTCTGTAACTCTACCTCTCAAATAAATACTTTTTTAAATAAAAGCATTGGTAGTGAAATATATGCAGAGCAGATTAAAATGTTTCATAGAAGATTGAACCAATAAATACTGTCATTACAGACAGGTATAAACAGATACCAATCATTTATGCATTTAGCAAATCATTACTGAGCACCTACAATACATGGTATGCACTGGAAATGCCTGCAAATAAGAGCTGCCCTCGCGGAGGTTATAGTCTAGCACTGAGTGTAGACACTGCAGGGGTCGTAACATAACAGGCCTATGACTCCACCATCCCATACAGGCACCAGCTCCTGTCCCAGCTGCCCCACTTCCGATCCAGCTCCCTGCTAATGGCTTGGAAAAAGCAGCAGAAGATGGCTTAAGTATTTGGGCCCCTGCACCCACGTGGGAGACCCGGAAGAAGCTCCTGGCTTCAGATCGACCCAGCTCCGGCCATCACGGCCATTTGGGGAGCGAGCCAGTGGATGGAAGACCTTTCTCTCTAACTTTCTCTGCAATTTTGCCTCTCAAATAAATAAAATCTTACAACAACAACAACAACACAGGATGTGCTTCAGAGTGCATAGTCCCATGCTCCTGGGAAGGGCCGACACCCTGCCCAGAACCCTGGGTCCTCCCCACCTCCTCACGGACTCCAGTTCTCAGCCCCGCTCCCCACAGATGCCATCCGTCTCAGCCCTGACATGAGCCCTTCCTATCAGCACGTAGACCTCCCTCGCCGGCACACAGCTCAGTTCTCCTCTCTAGCTCACTCGCCACTTGCCGTGGACTGCCCGACCCCAGCCTCAGCTCCCACCTCTGAGACTGGGCACGGTCAGGGGGGCGCAGGACGATGCAGACCTGAGAGGCAGCTTCCACGGCAAACCATGCGGGCACCAGTCTGTGTCCCTGCCGCTCCTCTTCCGATCCAGCTCTCTGCTTGTGGCCTGGGGGTGGTTGTACCAGCGCCACCCCGCGGCTCAGTGTCCCAGCTTGTCAGCAGTGTGCGACACAGACCTGCGGTCCCCAGCACTCCGCTCTCCCAGCTTCCACCCTGCCTCTCCGACGGCACCTCCCCTGCCTTTTCTTCACCCAATGCCCTGGGCTTACCGCTCTTTTGCGTCTACCCTCACTTTCAGAGTCACTTGACTCTGACACCCCGGATAACTGGGGTGGGACATTCGTCACAGGGGACGGGCCCGTGCATCGTAGGACCTATGAGAGCAGCCCTGACCTATGTCCGGTAACAACCGCCCTTAGCTGTCACAGCAAACTGTCTCCAGACATGGCCAAATGCAACCCCCCTCCCCAGGAAAAGGCAAATCAAACACCCCCAGTTGAGAACCACCACCCGGGACCCAGAGTCGCAGCAGCTCGCCTGGCGCCTTGAATACCACTGACATACGAGAAACGGCCAAATCTGACCCCTGGCGTCCGCACTAAGCTCTAGGATACCTACCCGATGGGCACCTCCAGTACAACATGGCCACACGAGAACTTGTAACCCACACACGTCCCTCTGCCCAGTGCCCACTGGCCTCTCAGCCTCCTCAGTCTCAGTCAACAGCACCATTGTCCGCGCAGTTGCTTGAGCCCCCCTACCCATTCCCTCTCCCCTCACCCCTGTCTCTACTTCCTCCATGTGTTCCAGTAACACCCACTTCTCTCTCCCTCTGACTACCACGCCACCCCAAGATGGCATCTCTCCTGCCTAGCTGTCTTCCTGTGTCTTCCCTACAATCTAGCCTTCACATGGTAGTTGGAGTGAATTTTTTCCAAAATAAGTTATTTCAGGGCCAGCATTGTGGCGCAGTAAGTTAAAGCCCTGGCCTGAAGCGCCGGCATCCTATATGGGCACTAGCTCAAGTCCCAGCTGCTCCACTTCCAATCCAGCTCTCTGCTATGGCCTGGGATAGCATAGAGGATGGCCCAGGTCCTTGGGCCCCTGCACCCACGTGGGAGACCCAGAAGCTCCTGGCTTCAGATCAGCGCAGCTCTGGTCATTGCGGTCAATTGGGGATTGAACAGCAGATGGAAGACCTCTCTCCCTCTCCCCTCTCCCTTTCTCTGCCTCTCCTTCTCTGTGTAACTCTTTCAAGTAAATAAATAAATCTTTTAAAAAAAGAAGTTATTTCACAGGGCTGGCGCTGTGGTGTAGCAGCTAAAGCCACTGCCTATAGTGCCAGCATCCCACATAGGCACCAGTTCTAGTCCCAGCTGCTCCACTTCTGATCTAGCTCTCTGCTATGGCCTGGGAAGGCAGTGGAAGATGGCCCGCACCTGTGTGGAAGATCTGAAAGAAGCTCTTGGCTTCAGATCAGCACAGCTCTGGCTGTTGCAGCCATCTGGGGAATTGACCAGCAGATGGAAAACCTTTCTCTGTCTCTGCAATACTGCCTTTCAAATAAATAAATAATTTTTTAATGAGTTTATTTAACTTATCACCTGAAGTTCCCACAACTTGTTTGTTGTCAGTCTCCTCCCATGGGGCTGCACGGTACCCAAGGACAGGGACCCTGCCTGTCTTGTCCACTCCTGGGTCCTCACCCAGTGCCCAGGGCCTACCTGCTGCAGGGCGGCGCTCAGTGGGCACCAGGTATGCTGTTACTTGCACCACTCTCACTGCCTACACCACGGGGGCCACACCGACCTGCTGCCATCTTTCCCACGTACAGATTCCTATAAGGACCCCCTTACTCCCACCGCCAGCCAGACCCCAGCTCCTCTACCTCTGAAAACCCCAACCTTAGGTCACTTGGGGGATGATACACTCGGAAGGGTGGAAGGGCCTTGTGTGTGGTCCCACCACCTCACCAAGCCAACCTAAAGCTGGCTCCCGCCTTGCCCAGTCTACGGCTCAGAGCCGACCCTCAGCTCCCTCCCACGCAGCCCCCTCGGTGATCTCCAGCTTCTCACTGCCCAGCCAAGCACTGGCCCCAGGGACCTCCTCCTCCAAACCCCTGTCCCTCTCAGAGGGCTGTGTTGGGGGGTGGGGGGGACACCCTGGTCCAACAAGGACAGCCCCTTGCCTGCTAGCAAAGGGCTGGAGGGATGGGTACGGCCCCAGACCCTAACAGCGGGGTTCTGCGAGAGGACGCACCCCCATGAGCTGAGGCCAGGGGCCCCGCGAGCCTGGCTGGGCTGAGGACGGGGCATTGGGAACCACCCCTTTCAGCACTGCTCCGATTCTGAGGTTTAGAACATCGTTGATGTTCTATATTTCACCAATTCCAGTTCTCCCCCACTTCCAGTTTTGATGACCCAAATGTATTTTTCCCCAAGGTCAAGTCTTTCTCCTGTGACTTTCACAATGAAGCCTTGGTTCCTTAATCAGATGATCCCATCGAATTTTCGGCCACTGTGAGTATCGTTTGTGTTGATTATTTCTACCAAGTTTCATTTTCCTGGTGACTTCAAAAGGGTGGAGTCGGGGCCAGCGCTGTGGCATAGTGGGTTAAGCCACCACCTGTAGCACTAGCATCCCACATGGGTGCTGTGTTTGTGACCCGACTGCTCCACTTCTGACCCAGCTCCCTGCTAAGGCACCAGGGAAAGCAGTGGAAGATGGCCCAAGTGCTTGGGCCCCTGCACCCATCTGGGAGACCTGGAAGAGGCTCTTGGCATCAGATTAGCCCAGCTCTGGACATCGTGGCCATTTGGGGAGTGAACCAGTGGATGGAAGATCTCTCTCCCTTTGGAACCCTGCCTTTCAGATAAATAAATTTTTTAAAAAGGTGGGGGTGGTGGTGGAGCTAAAATGGCAAGCTGCAGACCTCTCCCTTCACCCTAGGCTCTTTCAGCACAGCCTTGCTGTTCCTGGGAGACTTCCAGGGTCCCCAGTGCAGGCAGGATGTGCAGGCAGGTGGGGAGGGTGGCCAGTGGGAGCACCTTCTGGGGATCCGGCTTGGTGGGCATGAGACGCAGGACCTCCCTATGAATGGACCCCTGT